GGAGATAAGGATGGAAATACATCATGCAGGTCTTTAGATTCCAGGCTGAGAGATTTAGATTCTATTCTTCATGTAAATGGGTACTCACTGAAATTTTTTTAGGGTAATTGTTTACATCAGGTTAAAATGCCATTAATTTAAGATATTAAAATATCTTACAAGTTGTAAAATGTATCATCTCAGTATCAGAGACAGTAACATGAGAAAAAATAGAGTTCAGAATTCTGAAAGCTGTTATCAATTGCAGAAGTCTAATGACTTTAGCTATCTACCCTAAAGAAAGTTAATTTTTATATATTTTTCTCTCCATAGATCAGAGGATTATATGTCTTTAAAAAAGTGAAAATATGGTTAACACAAATGAAAATATTTGTAACAGTGTTTACTAATGTCTATAACTCAGGAGGTAAGATCACAGGTTTAATGAGCCTCAGGACTGCACTATTATCCTAAGCTGGCCAGTTAGTCACCAAGAACATAAGTTTTGTTCAAGCCACATTCTATATTCCTTACTACATATCTACTTTAAAAATGCATACAAATACTTCTAACAAAACACCAGACTAAGCAGAGTCACAAAATTGAAGGGTTAGGAAGGATCCCAGAAGTTATAAAGTGAAATTGCCCCTTGTCACAGCCTGCAGTCATCCTCCACTCAGTAGCCCCATGAGGGAGGACTACTCATGCCTTGTCTTGAGTAGTCCTCAAGTGCCAAAGCCTCTGCCTTGTCACCATGTGGCCCCTATGCTCAAGAAATACCTTCAAGCCAGTAAATGTGTGTTCTTTGGGGAGGATTGTATATACTGCCCATACAACCCATCAGTATAAGGGCTTGAATTGGTGAAATTGTTTAAACTATACTAGAAGCCACTTCAAGAGCCTTCTTATGATGTCTGCCTACCTTCCACATTCAGACCTTGCAAATACTTGCAGGAAGCTTCTTCTCCAAGCCAAACACTTATATTTCATTGCACAATTTGCCACATACCTTTGTTTGAAAAACTTTCTACTGTACCCTATGTGGGCTACATCTGGTCAGTTCTAAACCTTGTGTCACCCAGAATAAAATGCACTTCTTTCACATTGTTGCCTACCAGGACTAGAGTGGACTTTTCTGTGACTAAATTTTTCCAAGTCCTTCACGCTCTTGAAAATTACTTGTACTTCAAATGATAGATGATGCTGATGAAGCCACACAGGTAGGTACCATGAACTTCTCCCAGAGGCTAAATTCACCTGTTGAAGAACCTCTGTGAGAGGCTAGGATGTGGAAAGAGAGATTCATTATGTTCCCCATGCAATTGGACCCACAGTAGAACATTTCTGGGAGCTTTCCTTGAGGGAGGCTGAGTAAACATTCAGTAACCTAGGAAGTTCTGCCTCCTACTTTGCATGGTGAATTGAACCACAGTAGTCTGAATGTAAATGAAGACTTGGTAACTCGATACCTGAAACCTGAAATGAGAAATGCAGTTTAATTGCCCCAAAGATTTTTTTTTGTTTTGCAAATAAATTACTTCTACTTTTATGCCAATATTTGATCACAAACCCATTCACCTTAATATTGGGTAATGAGGTTGCTTTGCTTGCAATGCTATATTTAGAAACTACAATCTTATGAAAAAATCTTTCTCACCATTAGAATCATCTGTAGTTCTTCAAGAATCCTAGAAAGGAAAGGATTCCCACACACCTAAGATCCTACCATAATTACAGAACCAAGGGATTGGAAGATAATAGTGTGAAGTATTTCTCAAGTGACTTAAAATCTGGTGTCATAAAGTATAATTTAATCTAGAAATGGCTGAAAATAGTCTGAAAGAGATACTGTTTTTGAGATTACAGTCTAGGACATAGACCAATAATAGTTTCAAGAAAATTTTTTTCTTTAAATTATATTTCTTCTATTAAAAATATATATGATAAAACTCTATCTTAAAAAACTAAGAATTAAACTTTAAGAAATAGTAGTGAATGAAAATTAAGAAAAAAATAATAACATTTTTTTACCTGATAGGTTATACAGGTAAAAAAAATTAGATTATGACCTTTTATACAAAGCTTAAAAGACAATAACATTCATAGATTATGAGAATAAATCACAGTCAGACTTTGTCATTTGAGGATGAATCGCTACACAGTAGAGAAAATCACCGGGAAATGTGCACTAGAATGTAAAATCACATACTTCTGAACTAGCAATACTTACTACTTTTTGTATGAAAGTGTTTGTTACAGCATTATTTGTCAGAGTAAAAACCTGAAATAATGAAAATGTATATAACTATGGCTAAACAATACAAAATATTATTTGACTGTAAAAAGTATATAAATTAGATGTTGATGTTACTACTGGAGAGATAACCTTGAATTAAAAATAAAAAGTTACAGAGCAAAAGTTATAGTCTTTTTTTCTGCAAAAGCAAATAACCACCAGAACAAAAACCCCATACACATGTAATTTTATGTTTGTATGAGCATGAAGCTTTTGATGCTGATTTCCTCAGGATGGTAAAGGCTTTAAATCTCCCTAATCAAGGGCCTCTCCACCTAAACATAAAAAGAAGTAAAAAGAGTACTTGCTACTTGCACGAATCTCCCTGCATTGGGAGTCTTCATTTAGGTCTGGTGACACCTAAACATTGCAACATGGCAATTCTGAAGTCATTGTAGTTTCATAGACTTGAAATAGAAAAGTAATTGCTTTTTCATATACATATGTACATATATATGAAAAATATATACACATATATTTCTTATTTAAAAATGATCATGTAATATTTTTGGAACTTAATATGAAACTCTAAAAAATTGTGGTGGAACTATTTAGGGATTTTTATCACTATGTGCAAGCTGGGGTTGGGGGGCAGGAAGAAAATTAGTTATAATTACCAAAAAGACTAGAAATGTTACTTCTCTTTCCATCAGTTTGTTCATGTTCCTTTTTTCTTCTGTCTCTGGACTGTTTGTCTCCACTGTATCCAAGTCTAGACATTGTTCACCATGAGGACTAGAAAGTGTCAGAGGGCTTTTCCAAATCATTACCTCTTCAATAATTTCTCAGCCTGTTTTCAAGGTTTATCTGCTAGTATTTGCTTCCAAGTCTACATACCACATTTCTCATCCAAAGATCCTGCTGTGAATACAAAAAAAAAAAAAACAAACAAAACACAAGGCCTTTTGAAGAATTAGTTTTTCAGGAATTTCAATAAGCTGGCTGGCACAAGCTATTGGTCTTTCACTCTCATGACCATTTCTCCTTATAAACAACAGTATTCACCATGGAAGACTGTGCTTGTTCTCTAAGCAAATTTAGATAACTCTAGCTTCAATTCCACACATTCAGAAAAATTAGTAGGCTTATGCAAACATAGTAACTTGTGTGCAAACTTCTGTTATATCAATATGTCCTATCATGTGGGCATTTTGCCCGATTCTTGTTAAGTCTAAACTTTTATAAAGCAGATATCAGGTCTTTTACTTCATTTTTTCAGTGTCTAGCAGAGTGTTTGGCATAATAAGTACTCATAAATTTTCATTGGGTGAATGAAAATATAAATAACTGAGCATGTAATAAATTCTTGGCCTATTTAGTCCAAGAATGCACTTTATCTACCCCTTGTATAAAACAAGAATAAAAGTATAGATCTGTATAACAGCTTCAGAGACTAAATGTGAGCATCAGGTAAGGAAGGTAACTGCAGTACAAATAATTTGTGCAGCGTAAAGTGTTATGGAAGAGAGAACACTGTTAGGAAGATTGCTGAGATAGGCCGGCTTTGAAATGATGAGTCTCTGAAACAGGATATGTATAAGAAGTTCCTCAAATCCAAAGAGTCATAATCTCAGGAACACAAATTTGAGGGTCCTCATCCTCAATTACACAAGGATAAAAAACAGAGCTTAATGAATTCACTTTAACTTACTTTAAATCTGTATTAGCTATATTTGGATTATTTTTTGTGTCCCCACTTTGCTTTTGTACCATTGTAATCATAATATACATGTTCAGTAGACTTTGAGTTCTCAAAATATTCAAAACCAAATATTTCTTTAGAAGTATTTATGTAAATAAAAAATCATGTTAATATATTATTTTTTACATTAGAATACATAACATGTATTTACTTAGGTGGTTTTTTCAAACTCTGATGGTAATCTCCAATTTTTGAAAAATTCTTTAACAGGGATTGCTCAGCACAGAGAAAAGGAGTCCCTGTGCTCATCCACTGACAAGGCCTTGGCTGAATCACTAATCCATGTGGATCACTAGTCGATGAGTTTGGGCCAGATGCTTAATTTCTCTTTGCTTTACTCTCTTTCCAAACTCAAGGAGGTAAGCCATAGTATCTCCCACATCAATTTCTTCTCTAATGTTTTAAGATTTTGTCATCTAATTCTATTACTTTCCAATTATAATTTCACTTTGAGCAGAAAAATAACATAATTCTCTTAGCAAAGCTTGTTCGTATAAACCAGTTTAAGAAAAATTTATGTGATGGCCTCACAAGCACAAATTAGAGTGGGTTACTGATATAAATAACTTCATTGTATTCATTAATCAGATCAATCTAAAATTTACCTAGCTTTCTCTTGACTTTGTTCAGATAAACACTTAAATGTCTTGGGGAGATCACACTTACACACGCACACTCACTATAAGCATGATGTATGTGGCTCCACACTTTATCAGCTTGCCTCCTCCACCCGAAAATCAAAACCTGTGCACATACATTATTTTACTGTAATATTCAGGATTGAGATATTTTCTGGACAAAGCAAATGTGGGAGAATGAGTGCCTGAGCTAGGATCCTCCTCCCCACCCCGCCTTCCACCCCACAGCCCACCCCTTGCTGCTTCCAGGGAGGGGAGGGCAAAGAAAAGGGTGATAGGAAGGCAATGGGCGGGGCAGGTGGTGGGCGGGAGATAAAGGCTGGAGCCCTAGGCGGGACCAGGGGCGCAGAGCTAAACCAAGCAGCGCTGGGCTGAGCAGCACCTCGGACAGCGCCCGGCCCGGGGCTCCTGCGCTGACACGCTCATTCTGACACACACTCCGCTGCGCAATGGCAGAGTCCCACCTGCAGTCGTCCCTCATCTCAGCCTCACAGTTTTTCGAAATCTGGCTTCACTTCGATGCTGACGGTGACTATCTCCTCTCTTACCTAACACCCCCGCCCCTTTGTCCCCTTCTCTGTCAGCCTCTGATCCCATTCCCCTGCTTCTTTTCTTTACTTCTCCCCCACCCCTCAACTCCCCAATCTTACCTCCCGACTGGCAGCTTGTGGGACTGTCAACTTGGAAGTTTATATATTGCTTCTACGTTACCCTAAACCTTAAATTTATTTTTCTCCAAGAAAGTGGAAGGGAGCAGGGATTAGGGAACACTGCTCTCCAAAGATCCTGTGGCCATACTCAGCATCCCCACCTCTGGGTAATTCAGGTCCCAGCAGGAAAGAACTTCTGTGGTAGCCAGAAAGACATCTGTCCTGGACACTGAATGGGAAAGGGACTGGGATGTCTGACAACTGGCGCCTCTGTTTTTGCAGGAAGTGGGTACCTGGAAGGGAAGGAGCTGCAGAACCTGATCCAGGAGTTGCAGCTGGCACGGAAGAAGGCCGGGCTGGTAGGTTCAAGTTGTAAAGGAAGAATATATAGATATTCTACCCTCCCATAAAGAGCCAGGGAGGGTCCAGTGGTTTCCAGGGCATGTAAACATCTATTGACTGAGAAGGGGCCTTTCCAAATTGTGTAGGGGAAAGAGAAGGAGAGACAGACAGACAGACGGAGACAGGGAGACAAAGAGAGAGGGAAACAGAGGGGGAGAGACACAGAGAGGGAGATACAGACATAGAAAGACAGACAGAGAGACATACAGAGAGACAAAAGGAAAAAGAGACAGAGAGAGAAAGAGACAGAGAAAGACAGAGTCAAAGAGAGTGAGATTCCCTAAAGAGAAAAACCTTGCAATCTGAAACCAGAGCATTTAACGGTCCAACTTCTATGCTTACTCTTCTTTAATGGTACATAAGAGGAAAGTGTGTGTGCTGGATCCCAGAAGGTCAGCACCCCTGGGGCTGTGCCAGATTAAGTAATTTTTTTAACTTCTCTTTAACTGTGTGAGAAGCAAGGGGGTAGAAATACATTTCTGCCCCTTGGTGGTAAGGAACAGATCTACAGATTATCTTTTTCTATTGCTGTTTATTGGTGTTGTGATGTTGATGTGGTTGGAGAGACTGGAAAATGCCTGTCTTGACCTTCCTCACTGGGGGAAAGCTGACAACTTGGACCGTGATAATAAGCAAGAATTTAACAAGAAAAGTGTACATTTCTGTCAAAAGGGAGAAACCCAAAAGTTAGAAATGTAAAATGTAAAGCAATTGTAACAACTCAATGTTTTCTTAAAAGTGATACTTTGATAATAAGCATTTAATGACATTTTAAAAATAACCTATATATATAATTTGTCAGTTAATTAAACAAATGACAATTCTTACTAATTCTGAATGTCTTCCTTTGGTCATAAATTAACCAAAGGAATTAACCTGTTAAGAAAAGATGTTGTTGGCATAAAAATAAAATATACCCAGCTTTTATCATAGATGAGGTGATTAAAGGAAAATAGGTTAAGAATTTTACTAATCTATTGGGATTTATGTAAGACTGCATTTCTGAAGCAGTGATGAATTTGGGCTACTTAGATGTTAATTTTTGGCTTTTTTGACTATCATTAGAAAGATTTTATATAACAAATTATATATACAGGGTGTGGCAAAAGCAGGTTTACAGTTGTTCATATGGAAAATAATAAAATAATTAATAATAATACAAAAATAAAGTCTGTATTTCACATACTTGCAACTGTAAATCTACTTTTGCACCACTCCATGTGTGTGTGTATATATATTTACATATTTATATAATATATTATAAACACATACACTGAATTAAATTAAATATATACTATAAATATATAAATTTATATACACACACACATTGGGAGGAAAATATAGGTGTGTGTGACCTTTAGGCAATCATCGTATTGAGTTATATATAATTATAAAATGTTATATATATATATATACATGTACACACAACTTATACTAGACGTACATTTAGTTCTATATTTGCTACACATCTTTGTCTAACACATTCAAAAGACTCCCAGAGGACTTGAAAATGTAATGCATTACAGAAGTATCAGTTGCTAAAATTATTGACTGAATCAATATTAACCAGACAATGCTCTGGGTATTGTTTTACCCAGATTTAATATTATATAAATCTGAAAATATAATTGAATGGGGTCAAATAAAGTAGAAAATGTTTTATACATTCTTTCTCTTTACACCATCCCCCATCTTACATGTTATTATGTAAATAAATTCATGCAATATATTATTATAGCTCCATGTATCTTTAACTAATAAAACAAAAGTCTCTGTCATTTAAAATATCTGGTTGAAAAACTCTTACTTGTTAAAAAATTTCAAAGTGAAATCTCATAAGATGTTTCCAGCAATTAAATGATTATATTTAATTTTTCTAGAAGTAATTTTAATATTGAAATTTATTTCACCTTAGAAAATCAAATATTTAGAAACTACACATTTTTCAGGTTTTTCTTTTCCTCTTCCGATTTTAGTAAATAATGACTTTATGTTAGGGTTTAAAGATTGTAGACCTTAATTATTTTTTCTATTGCCTAGACACCAATTTTAGAATATTAGAAACTCTAATTGTTAGATTATAATCCAACAATACTAAATCTGAGCACAGACACAGTATTATATCAAGTCACCTAGTAGCTTGATTATTGACCACTTTCTGGCTTATGAAATAGTCTTTGGATAGTTCAAGTCTAAATAGTGATCTGAAATGAGAGGTTCATGTACCAGAAAAATAGCTCACTGTGCTACTGGCCTCATTGCAATAAACCTATTTTTACATATTTCTTCCCTTTTTACCTTAGAACATAAAGATTGACCTTATATACAAGGTTTCTTTGCATTTCTGGCCTTAGGGTAACAAATTTTGCTGTATTAATGGAAATGTTGTTTGGCTCATCATATGAATAATGTGAAATTTCAAAATTTTCACTAATATTAACTATAATTAAATATAATATTTATGAAGTATAACAACCCAATGTATCTTCTATCCTTTTATACTACACATGGTATTTAGTCCTTACATTGCATTTATTTTTAAAAGCTTTATTACTATAATTATTCTCATTATGTTTTGCACTATTTAAAGCACTGATTTTGACATCATTATCATCCACAAAGCTCAAAAACTAAGTGTCGTTTTCACTAGTTAAGCTATTAGTAATACAGGATTGTAAGATTTAAGAACAAATGCCTTGCCTTCTGTTTACTTTAATAAATGATAGTTTGCAGTAGAACTTCCAGTTCCACTATTGCCACTTTCACTTTCTTACAATTGTCACTATAGCAAAATTTAATAAATGCAAGTTGAAATTGATTGATACTAGAAATGTTTTTTAAAATACTGTGTTACAATTAAATTGCTTAATTACTATGTGCTACCTCAGTTCTATGCACAATATTTACTTTGGTTCATAAAGGATTTTGTAAAACTTGTAATAATGATATTCAGCCTCAATATAGCCCTTACATTGTACTAATCAGTCTATCTCTGGATCAAATGGCTGGTAAATACCACTTTATTTTAATTATGACAATAACTGAAATCTTAATTTAGTATACAAGGACAAAGAACAGGACATTAATAAAGGCTGACCTACTTTAAACAGGCTTCAGCGAATGCAAAAGGGCTGTTTTAAACACACTGTGCTGGACACCACAAGTCTATATTCAACCTCCTTAATACTAGCCCTTTGTTCAGATCACCTCACAGTTCATAGATCTCTAACCTGTCAATATAGAGAGATATTATATATGAAACAGAACAGTTTTGGGGGGGAGTAAAACCAAGTGATCAAAGAATTCACTTTATTACTCTTAAACATGTCTCACTGAACTAAAATTCATAGGAGAGAGAACATCATCTCAGAAAAAATTGGGAAGTAGGAAACACTGGAACACCGCACACATAATCAGTGCCTTAAAATATGATCATCAATGTTGTCTGTCTCTAATAAAAGTACAAGCTGTTTTTTATCTGACATATTTTCTGATGTTTAATTTTTTTCCTTATTGAATTACTTAATGCCACTTTTATGCTGGAACATTCTTTGCTTACAAAGTGAGTCACACTTTAATGCTCAATTTTTTTGCTTGTCCAAACTGAAAATATAGATGATTACCTCCCACGGGTGAAATGTGTTAAACAAGGACAATGTTATAGGACAATTAGTATAGAAATAGAAAGAATTTCTTCTGAAGCAATGTTTAAAAGTACATTAACAGTGACTATTATATTTAAATTTACTAAAGGTTGTAAACTGAATAATTCAAATGATATTTTAAAGATAGTATATTTCAAAACTAATAACAGAAGATAAATCATAATGATTGATTAAGAAATGATCATGATAATTATAACTCCTTCATTGGAAACCAGCAAATACTATATATCAGTAGTCTTTAATTTTCATGAAAATAATTAGTCAATATACACAATTATAAAGGGTTCTAATTCTGGTTTTTCTTTTCAATAAGGTATTGACACCATCACAAGCATAATTTGATTTGGGTTTTATTTTTACAAACTTTTTACTTATTTTTATATAATTTTAGGAGTTATCACCTGAGATGAAAACTTTTGTGGATCAGTATGCGCAGAGAGATGATGGAAAAATAGGAATTGTAGAGGTAAGAAACATGCACTTTTAAGACACAGTTTTTATAAATGGGCTTCATTTTATTAAGCCCAACTCAAACATGATATGGCAAGACTTATTCGGAGAATCTTACTTTGCTTAAGTAATAGGTTACATTCTGTTCATAAATATAAAATTAAAAATTATTGAGAAATTAAAGGGATCCTAGAGTTTTCAGAGTCCAGCCTAAGTTTGGCACGAGACACTTGAGATCTGGATGAGTGAAGGGCTTTGCCTGCACAAACTGAGTGTCCACTTCCCAGGTGCACACCCATCACATGACATCACCTGCCTCACTCAGTACAACACCAGCCATGTGCATGTTTCACAGGTGTTTCTTATCATTCAACAGAGCAGACTTTTCTGTTAAACATTAAATGAAATGTTTGCAGTCCCTGTGACAACATTAGAGCCAAAAGTTGAGTCCTGGTTTCTGAAATTCTATTTTAATTTGGCTGTGAGCCTTAGTGAGTGAGTATGTTATGATCTGTTTAAGGTCTCTAAAAGTTCAAAATGTGAATGTCAAGTCTTAACTTTTGATAATGACTTTTGTCCATGAATCATAGGACAAAACCATGATCTTATATTAGTGCTTCCTCATTCTCTCATTTCCAGTCTTTCAGGTGCTGGTGTCTCAGCTACTCCTTAAAATCTCTCCACCTACTTTTACCTCTATTTCTATTAGAGAAATTCAATGGACATTTTTCAGAAAAAATTAATAAACTCCTATTTTAAAATATGCTGTCACAAACATAATTATGTTCTTTATATAATGTATGTTATATACATTGTATTAGTGTATTAGATTGTGACATATTCAGGATATTAACAACATGTAGTCACAATTTACTTTTAATTTAGAGATTTACCTGGTTTTCAAATAATTGATTTAATAGGACAGCTGTGATACCAATGTGAAATACACATACTTTTAAAGAGCTACTACAAATAGAGTTAAAGGGCATACCATTATTATCTTTGTAATTAAAGTATTTCTCTGGAGTATGCACTTTCCCTTTGCTTATGTATAGTTCATTGCTATCTACAGAGATAAATTTATAATAATGGGACTTACAGACTAATAAAGAGGCCAACTGATCCAGATGTGAAATCATTGAACATAAGAAGATATCTTTCAGATCAGCTGAAACAGGAAAGTTAAAGGGAGAAAAATGAGACATATAGAATGGATTGGAAGGCCTAGGTATTCCATCACATGGAACTTTTGCTAGATGGAATATCTGGGGAAAACTAGCCAAAATTCCTCATTTTAATTGTGAGAAAATTGAAGCCAGAAAGTTTGAATGACACATCCAAGTCCCCACTGATTGGAGTGAGAAAACCTAGATCTGACTCTGACCCCAGAATGCTTTTCATCAATCTGAGTTCATCAGCACAGGCTCAGGAGATGGGGGTGGGGTGACAGGTGAAGAGGAGAGAATCAGTGACCTGGTGGTGGGAAGGCAGGACAGTAGGAAGGGAGGGAGGGAGGACACAGGAGAGAGAGATTACTGTAGTGGTACCTGTGAATGTTGGTTCGTCCAGGGCAGTTAAATCAAGGTGAAGAGAGAAGGGAGACTGGGAAAAAGAGACTGAAACTGCCAAATCACAGGTAGAAAGTGGGTTGGAGAATGGGAGTACCTGCACTTACAAAATGCCTTCTGGTGTCACAGGGAAGTAGTATTAAATCAAGTTCATCTCTTTTGTTTTTCAACCTGTGTTAAAGTGTCACTTACCAAATAATCCCATATATGGCATGGGATACAAACACAGGTGTCCCGGCCAGCTATGAGGGAAGGGAAAATCTATGTCATCCAAAATTAGTACTTACCTACCCACTCACATCTTGCACCATGAGTCTGGTGTTCATTGAGAAAAAGTTTAATTTGTCTAAATGTTATGCCCATTTAATAAGTGACTTGTGGTTCATCAGCATGGCTCAGTTGGTTGACCATCATTTGACAAAGCAAAAGGTTGCCAATTTGACTCCTGGTCAGGGTACATGCCTGGGTTGTAGGCCTGGTGCCCAGCTGGGCATGAGTGGAGACAACAGATCAATGTCTCTCTCACACATAGATATTTCTCTCCCTTTATTTCTCCCTTGTCTCTCTCCAAAAATAAATAAATAAAATATCTTAAAAATCAAATATAAATAAACCCAATGACATTTATACAACAGTCTGCTCTCCTGATGGGGACAGGCCAGACTGATTAGCTCTAACTGAAATATGTTATGGAAAAGATCAGGAAGGACAGTGGTTAATTTTCAAAGTTTTATTCTGGTGAAGGTGACTTGACACTCTCCAACAACGTGCTTTTCATACTTGAAAACACATAAAAAGAGTGCTTTCTTCTGACGTTTTTAATTTCATACATTTAAATAAATTTTAAAATTCATACATGATTAAGTAATAGATTGTTAATATTAAGTCAAAACAGGAGAATTTAAATTCTGAGATAATTTAACAAATACCATGACAGTTAAAAATGCTCTAAATTGATGGAGACTAATGGCTCTATTTCAGAGGAATATGATTAAAATTATTAAAGAGGAAGATGAATGATTTAGCAGGTAATGGAAATTCTCTCCAGGTTCACATTAAGTGTGGGTACTTCCTTTGGTGGGATGTAGAATCCACAAGCTTTCACCTGACCCCAGGGCATGAGTGGGAACCCACCCACCCCTTTGCTCTCATTGTGTCTACTTGTCCAGGTCACTGAGTCCACTGAAGAGACAGATATAAAAGCTATTTTAATCTCAAAAGAGTAACAGCCTTCCCAGGGAAATAATCATTTCCCTAGCCATTCCCTCCTTCTATCATGGGATGTGACCATATTAATTCAGACACAGTGAATATAATTTTCTGGCAGATTACTTTTTCACCTGAGAACTTTAGAGAAATGACAATGAAATTTGATTTAAAACTGCACTTGGGATAGATTTTTTAAATGGTAGATTAGGAAAACTTTTTTGATTGAAAGTTTTAACTGAAGGTCATGGTGGTAAAGAACCAGGGTCTCAAAATCAAGAAAGTCAGGCTGTCTAACTTCAAACCTGGCTTTTCATAACTAAAAGCTATGTGGTAGTAGCCCACCTATCCTCAGAGCCTCTGTCTCCTTGGCTGTGAACAAAAGGTGACATCTGAGTATTGACATCAAATGTGACAATACATGCCAAGCAAATAGATAAACTCCGACACACTGCAAAATGCAATAAACATATTTGCTGTTACTATTTAAAATAAAAGTAATTCATTGAAAAACCTGCTACACTCTTTTGAATTCCAAGCCTTTTCCCTACATCTTATATAACTTGTCAAATTCAAATTGTTAAATTCAACTAGACTTAAATGTATATGAGCTGGGTTTTCTTCCAAATTTCCTGGATCCCCTTTCTATTGGCTAGGAAAATCAATTTCTCTGGTTCCCAAATGAAAATTGAATGATTAATCATTATGGAAGGAGGTCAACACACACCAGGATTGTCTTAAACATTAGGGTTACACTCTGTGGTGCTTTTCTGTGTCTCATTCAGTCACTGTTTCTAGTGAAATTGTCCTTCTCCTTCCTGGTACTTAGAGCAAGAGCTTAGAGAAAGAGGTACTCTTGCTCTACTTCCTGCTTTGAACTTGTCTGCCTCCTTGTAAGATTCTTTCTAGGGTAACTGGGTACCCAGACCCCAGCATATGCTCACAGTACAGCTCCATGTCACAGCAGGGGTTTCAGTTGACTCCAAACATAAAAGCAAAGGCTCTGGTATAAGACAGCCACAGGAGAGGGAAGTAGAGACTCCCTACAGGGTCAGCTCCCTGGGAAGCAAGCCTGCCTTGAAGATAAGAAATAAGTTTTATTACAAGTGCTCTTGAGAATAGTACCTGTCAAAGGGGAATGGAAAAAGCAGGACTGGGAAGTTGGAGACACTGGGCTGTGATATAGCCACTCAGAGGCTTCAGCAGACCCCACAGTGTGTTCAAGCTGGGAAGACCCTTCAAACATGTCCCAAGTTTTAAGTGAGAAGGTTGGGCCTTTTTTGTCCTTGTATCCTTGGAAACACAGCTCTTTTCAGCCCAGGTCACCTCCTAGGGACCTGAAAGCTGAGACCACAGCAATGCTCCCAGCCCCTGAAAGCAGCTCTGGATGGTGTGTCACAGGGTGCACCCTGCCCCACTGCACAGCTCAGTAATGTCTGCAAAGGAACTGTACTTCACTTACACTACCTGTAAAAAGAGTCAGCAGCCTTCACTCAGTTGGTCAGTAAAATGTTGACTGAAAGGTTAGAAGGTGCTTGGCAAAGAAACAGTAAGTGAGGAACAGACCCTGTCCTCCAAGCTTGTACAGACTAGTTGGACAGTCAGGCAAATGGGAAAAGATGTTTGCTTCCCCACACTCAGTGACAAGCTACCCATGCTCACAGATGAGTCTCTGTGTGGCCACATCCATCTGCCTTCCACTCATTACCTTGACATTGTTCACTTCATGTCCTACCCATGAAAATGTTTTGGAGTTCATAAAAGAGTAGACAGGCAGCCTAAGGATTAAGAAATCACTCATAATCTTGGGACAGGCAACAGACACTTCTCTGGTCTGTAGTAACCTAGCAAATCTGAGACAAGGCAACACTGCCTCACATCTGGAAGTGAGAGACCCTGCACTTCACACACATGTCCTGAGGCATGGGGCCACCATGCTGAGCAGCACACCTGGAAAAGTTGGTGCTCATTGTCACTGGAGCCCCATGCTATCTACACAGTCACCGCTTCTCTCTCAATGGCTTGTATCTATTATTACCTTCTACATGTTTATAATTTCTAATGTCTACAAAATAGGATGGTACTGTACTCAGTTTAACATGAAGAGTTCAGTGAAATTAAAAGATGGACTATGTTGCACGTTTTTTAAAATAATTAAAACAAGTAGGACCAAATGACATGAGCAAAGAAATGTACATTTATACAAAGATTTAAAGCAATTTTGCCATCTCTAGGTCTGACATTCTGAAGGTCTCTGAACTTCATGTGAATTATATTAATTTTTAATTTTTGAAATAAAGATGGTTAAAATTTTCCTAATTTACCTTAGGTCATTCATTGCTTACTAGCATCTTTTATTTTTTCTGTTTTCATGTATTTGGTAGATTTTGATAAATACAATTTAAGAAAAAGTATTCTTTTTGTTCAAAACAAAGCACAATAATTATGAAAATCCAGCATAGGAAACTACAATGAGCATAGGAAAAAAATGATTCACTATAAATCATGTTAAATGGGTATCTTCATAAAGTAAAAGTATCAACCAATCCACAGCATCTATGTCAGGCACATAAGATGGGACATTTAGGGGATGGAGACCAAGAATGACATCTGCCCTCCTGAAGTGGACAGTCTATGGGGACATCCACCAAACCTTATAAATATATCTCATAAGTCCTGTACCAACAAATACAGGAAGAGTTGGCTTTGGCTAGTTCTCATTTACTAAATGAATGCTTATGTTAATGCTCAGCCAACTAATGCCCTTTGTTCAGAAAAATAAGCAAATATTTTCTGACTGAGCCACACTTAACATCCTTATAGATGTTTGCTCCCATCCCTTAGTTTCAGTCCCCTTTGTAGTGTCAATAAATAGAATGGTTCTAATTTGAGATGTTATTTTAGAGATCTAAAAACAAGGTAAGTTAAAGGACCTTCTATACAGGCATAAAAGAGTTGACAATATTTGTATATAAGGTAGACTAATATATTTTACATTAAATTTTTAGTGGACCTAAATGGATGAAAATTGGGGAAAAAGTGTGAGGGTCTTTTTGATAGTTTATTAGAAATTTTGAACATACCCTGATCTTAAGGTTAATATAGACCCTAGGTTCTCAGTCTGACATCCAGTGACCAGGGTTCATGCCTGCAGTTCAGGATTTTTCAACTTCTGGAAGTTATAGTTGTTGTATGAGTGCATTCTTTTCCTTTTTCTTTTTTTATTTTTGGTAATTTTTTAAAAATTTTATTTACTTATTTTTTAAGTACAGTTTTCTATTTCTCCCATCCCAGCCCACCCCGCCCTGTGCTCCCCACCTCCCTTTAATGGTGATGATGTAGCCATTCTAATAGATTCTCACAGTCTTTTTGAGCCCACTACATTTAAGAGACATTGGATTTTATGTCAACTCTTTTTAGTGGCGAGGGTAGAAATAGCCCAGGGAGTTGCCAGGACCACAGCTAATTAGCAGCTGAGCCAGGAATAGAACCTGGGCTTCAGTGAGGCCATCAATCCAGCTCCCTCTCTCCATGCACACAAGAGATAAATTATATTCATCTTAGAATGGGAGCTGGAGCCTTTTTTTCTCAAAAAATAAAGGAGGCATTGAAATTATGAAATGAGATCTAAGGAGAAATGTTACAGAGTCACAAAAAGGAGTATAAATTAAGCCCAAGTCTTGAACTCAAGCAACAGACCCTACCACTCCTCAGTCCCCACTGTTGATCAGAGTTTCCTTCACCCGTTTCCTGAGCCTTACAATTGTCTTGGGATCATCTTCCTCCTTGGACTTAAGGATGTGCTTCTCCCTAGAACCCTTTCCCCTACATGCATACTAGTTTCTTTCCTGCCACATAAAGTGCATGGCCCTTATGTTCTGTTCTTTGTGCCTGAAAGGAGACTGTGACACAGAGTAGAGGGAAGGTACAAGCCACTGGCAGGGCTGTATGATGTCAGAAAAATGGAGTGGCCAGCTGTAGCCACTGCCCTCACCAGGAAGCAGTTCAATAGACAGCCAGGCTGGAAAAGGCATGGCTCTCTAGGAACAAAGTATCAGGAAGGGAAAATCGAGTCTAAAGTGTTTCCTCTCCTGGTTTTCTAGGCAGTGAAACTGCCCCAAAGCACATGTTCAAGAAAAACTGAGAAGCAGCAAATTCCCCGTATTTGTTTTGGGGTCCTCAAACACTTTCTAAATCTTTTGTAGTTGGCTCATGTGTTACCCACAGAAGAGAACTTCTTGCTTTTGTTCAGATGCCAGCAGCTGAAGTCCTGTGAGGAGTTCATGAAGGTAAGAGACAGCTGTCACTGGGCCAAGGCTCAGAATGCTGCTCATATTAGGCTGAGTGTGGGCTTTGTTGTAACATCTTGGTTTTCCTTGTCCATAATTACTTACAGACATGGAGAAAGTATGACACTGACCACAGTGGCTTCATAGAAACAGAGGAGCTGAAGGTAAGCAAGTTCTTCCCTTACAAATACAATTATGAACTTTGCAGCTTTTTATAAACTTCCAATGAAAGAAACTGGTGTTGAGCAATGGCACATTTTCACACACATTTCCACATTGCTAATGAAGAACCAGATCAAAAAAAGTATTCAAGTACTTCGTCAAATTCTGTTTAGCAATGCAAGAAATTAGCAATTTATATAACACAAATTTTATGTAAAATAGATATAACAAATACTAAGCAGAATATGCCATTCCTCTTCACTGAAACTTGATAGTTATTTTATAAATTAAACAACTATATAAATAGATTTCTCTTTCAAGAGAAATAAAAATTAACAATTATTGGACACCTACTATCTGCCAGGTACATTACATATTACTATGTCTAATGTCCAAGTGAGCTCTGTGAGATCAGTTTTACCCCCATGAGGAAAAGGTAAGATGTGGAGTGAGCTCCTAATGGCCTCCAGAAATCAGAAGCAGGGTCAGTGCATTGATCCAGCTTCATACTGGCCTCACAGCCTGGACATATATACACCCAGCCATTTCTCAACAATAAAGTCCTTATATGTATAACATATGTAATTGATCAGACTGTTGAAAAATGCTACTTTGAAAATGAACATATCTGTTCATATCCACAGACTATAGAGGAGCTGGGGAGGGGCAGGGGTGTATAACAGAAAGGCCAGAAGATCTGAAATCATTGTCCCCTGGACAAATCTTTGTATCATTCTGATTTTTACATCTGTACTATGGAGGTAACAGTACCTTCTTCTCAGATTTATTGTGAAGCTCAACATGTTGCACACAAAAGATTTTGTGTAATTCAAGGTAAAATAAATTCTATTACTCATGAACTCAATAATTTACTAGCCTTTCAGAAATATGGAAGGTTAGCATCTGTTTTTTATATCCTTATACTAATCATAAGACTTCTCAGTCCAGGAGACCCTATTGTCACTATCTTCAAAATATGGTGATCAAAGGGATTTATATTTACTGAGCACCTACTGTGTGGCAGGAACTGCCACTGTGAGGTGCTTGAACTGTATTTTAACATTTAATCCTTACAGAAAATTTGCCAAACAGGTGTCATCATTCTCAATATACAAACAAGGAAACTGAAGTTTAGGGATATTGGATAATTTTCAAGATTACACAACTGCCTGGGAAAAGAACTACATGTGGACCTAGACAGAATATGAAATGATGCTACAATATTTTTACCAACCCTGAGGGCCACCCCTCCCTCCTGAAAGCTGCCTCCTCTTCAGCTGTAGGGAAATATGAATATAAATGCACATTCTTGGTCACTTCGGACATGGTTAAAGTGACACCTGGAACTTGGACCATTTCAAATTGCTAAGATGTATTCACCTATAGCTTCTTGAAAATGTAAACATTTTAATGTGAAATAACCAAAAACAAGGTATTTGATAAACTTGCAGTTCAACAATGGAAAACCCACAAGGTGACAGCTAAGCTATTGTGTTTTTATTCTGTTAAACCAAAAAAAATTCTTTTGAAAATTACTTCAAGTTTATAATGAACAGTTTAGCTCATTTCCAACACCTGACCTCAAAATATTCTAAAAGTCTCCTTCTTTGTTCTAAATTTTGTTCTCAGAAAGAGATTCTAAATAGAAGCCCTCCTCTCTAGGGATTTTGAAGATAAGTTGGCATTCTTTTTTTAATGGATCTTTCAAGAAAGCTAATTTTAAGTTCTATAATAGAGTAAAAACATCGCTTCCTCTCAGACACAACTTCGAACTTCAGTCCCAAGGTTTCTCTCAGGCTATTTTTGTGACCACCATTTTTGTCTCTGGTGAGGATTTTTAAACCCAATTAATCTCTGACAAAAGCCTCTCATAAAATTCACCGCTAACAGATAGTTTTAAGTTTTCCATGCTTCACTTTGGATTGGAAGTAGAATGTTTGAAGTGAAAATAAATTGATCAACCCCCTACCCCCAAATGTCTCCTCTTGCAAAAAGAATGAAGTTACATCAGCCCTGAAGAACTGGCACATTTGGGAGGGACAAAAATCTCTGCAGAACCTAAGACATCCTATCCTTCTATAACATACATGCACAGATATGCTTATATTCCACAACAGCATTAATCATTTTCCAAGGAGGCAAGAATGAATAGTACTAGACAAAAATGAAAGATTGGTATTTGCTTTTGTTGTTACACTGTCATTTCTATGGCAAGCTTTTATAAAGCTTTTACATCTGTTTCAAAAAATTACATTCACTCCTCACCTCCAGCTGTCAAATGAACAGTCATCTTTTTCATCCTCTCCACTTTAATATGACCATGTATCCTCCAGAGATGAGAGGACATCTCTGATGCCCAAATGTGTTAGAAAGTCCTGGTGCTGTGACCGCTAACAACGGGACATCCTGAAGCTAACAACTGTCCTCTGGAGAAAGGAGCTTCATGTGGGCTGTAAATGATATACTTGAAATTAGGATTCACTTATAGTCTCTCACACAAGGTATGAAATACAGGTATGGGCTTCATGTTCCTGCACAGTCACTCAAGTATTGGTGAGGGTATTGATATCTAGAAATGCATCCACAGAGGTGGCTGGGTTCACAATTACTTACTCAGATTCCTACACAGTGTACAATTCAGATACTCCATTCATTGAAACCATAAAAGCAGAATGTCGCACAGACTAGGACAGAGCAGCTGAGGGAAAGGCAGACACTGTACCTGTCAAGGGCAGCATCTCTGTTGGAATGCCAGGAGGACCACATGATCTCATCTCCTTTCTAACCTCTTCACATAGTTCCACCCTTAAAAAGAGACTTTCTTTGCACTCTGCAGATGTTATGCTTCAGAACATGTAAACAGAGGCCCACTGTTTGTTACTGATGAAATTTACCTAAGTGTTCTCTATTTTAACAGAACTTTCTGAAAGACCTGCTAGAAAAAGCAAACAAGACTGTTGATGATACAAAACTGGCTGAGTATACAGACCTAATGGTAAGACTGATCCTGAAAAGACTGTGGCCAAGAACCTTATTTATTCCCAGACTGCAGAGAATGAAATAAATAACCCGTGGTTTGGGCACCACATTGCATAGGTCTAATTTCACTTAAGAAGCTAAATATGTAAGGATGCCATGGCTCCCTTACAGGTTCCTTAAGGTTCAGTGCTATAGACTCAACAAAAGAGCACTTCCCTTCCTGTAGAGTTGATAATTTTATCTATCCAAAAATCACTTGTTTTTCTTAAAAGCCAATATAATTATGTCATTCAATTCTATAATTTACACATATGTGTTACATTATAGATATATAAATTATATCACTAAAAACTCATTTATTATAGAAGTTCTGAATCAATTTTATCATTACATGGGAAATCAGAGATTTTGTTGGAGTTTACAGAGAACTTTTAGCTACCTTACTCATTGAGAGACTAAAAACAGGTATTTCTACCCCTTACTTTTGATTTTTGTTATTTTGGAATATTGTTTTGGTGCTTTGGGTGAGGAAATCCAAATGTAGCTTTATTCTGATATTATGGTGAACAGTATAAGTGAGATCTATTGTAGAATGTTAAAAATAGAGCCAAGAAAACTGCTCTACATACAGGCACTAAATGTTTTAGGAATGAACATCAAATAAATTTTTGAAGTCCCAGGTAAAATCATCCCATGCTCTTGAAGTTAATTAGTTTCAAGTGGGTAAAGTTTGTTAATTAATTTCAAAAGGGTAAAGTTTGCTAATTTTGACTCATGACAGCATTAGGACTAAGAGGATTTTTTTTCCTAAACTGATTAAGCTAGTATTTTGGCAACATCATTTTGTTTACTTTTTGAAATTCAAAGTTTTATTATTCAGATCAGTACATGTTTATATGTCCATGTTTTAATGGCTGTAAAGTTACAGTGAATTCTTACCTGTGGATTTAAACAAGTGATTCAGAAAACACAAGTGCTTATATAAAAAACTGTGTTATATTACATTGATTAGTCACCCTGAGAAGTAATCTTATAAAAGATTTGATTATATTTGACTTAACTGAGGTTCACATTCAGCCCTGTCAGCCTATTTCATGTGGGTAAAAAACCTCTAGAACCTAACCATTGCCTTATTCATTATACAGTGATATTTATTATAAAGTGGTAAGAAAGTGTCTGCATCGAAACATCAGCATACAACAGTGTCACAGAGGGCAGAGCTAAGTGCTAACTTTTGGGAAAAGGACAATAACCTACATTTACCAATTTTCTGTATTGCACCAATCTTAAGGGATATCTATTTAAAGTAATGATTCCTTTCCAGGTATAAATTTGAAGCAACCTCTTTAAAACCACTCAGATGGGAGTTTTCCCCTGTTGGTTTGGCCTGGCATATCTGATTAAATGTCATAAACCAGTTCAAATCTGGGAAGCAAATTAATCAAGAACTAATTAAAATTTAAATATATATGTGGGGAAATATTTCCCTATGGACACTAAATGTGTGATCTGGTATCCACTGTCTTAGTACTGGTATTAGTGTAACAATGTTAGAACTGATGATCAATGATTTATAAAACGTGTCAGCATAAGACCATGAACAAATCTGCCTCCCACCACAGCATGCCTAAAGAGGCCCCATTCTGACCATAATCACATTTTTTATGAACAAAAATAATGCACTTTTCACATTTTAGTATACATATTTGATACATTTCATACATAATCCTTCTATCCAATATAGCATAGGAATATTTCTACCTGCCTCCTAATGAGGGTTTGTGGATATCTACATCAGGTGTGTCTGGTGTATATATGTGCTATGGGCAGGTTGGGGGCTTTAGTTTCTCTTGTCCAGCATCCAAGGGAAACTAAAACAATTATACATTACTCAAAACTTCTATTCTGCAAGAATTTGTTCATAGTATGTCCCTTTTGCTTCTGTGTGTACCCTATGATGCTCTAAAAGAGAAAAGTAAGTATTTATTTTCATACCATTGTTTGGAGAATTAGGATGTGCTGTACATTGTTAGACAGCATCTCCCCCATGTCCTGATACATACAGGAGTGGGTAAAAGCAGGTTTACAATGTGAGTATGTAACACACAGAACTTATTCTCGTGTTGTTATTTATTCTTATATTAGTTATTTGGTTTTTTTATTTATTACAACAGTAAACCTACTTTTTCCCACCCCTGTATATGCACATATCTGCAAGAAAAATAAATGACAGTATTCTAGAAGCCTAGTTAAGATCACTACTCATTTTTACTAAAGTGTTCTGAGAAACTTTGGCAATTACACAAGTTATAAAGTTGAAAATGCTATTTTCTACAACTTTGCTATCTATATAAGTAATTGGTAACTCAAACTGCTTTATTTTGTATTTTCTTCTCCTTCATGCAATAAACTATTCTTCAGTGGCTATAATAATGACATTCTGTCTTACAGCTGAAATTATTTGATACAAATAATGACGGGAAGTTGGAATTAACTGAGATGGCCAGGTGAGTTTAGGAACTGAGCAAGTATTATCATAAGCTGTCCTTGTCTAAAAATCTAATCTATTAATGTTATGTTTTTCCCTCAAAAGATTATTACCAGTGCAAGAGAATTTTCTCCTTAAATTTCAGGTATTTCTCATTTTTTCCATCATAATAGTATTTTTCTTGAACAGTTAGAGTGTGGGAGAGTCCTACTAGCAGGGAAATGCTAATGAAGAACCTACTAGCAGCATTTTAACCTTTGCTTTCTTCTCTATCTTCCAGGGAGTCAAAATGTGTGGGAAGGAGTTCAATAAAGCTTTTGAGTTATATGATCAGGTAAAAGTTTGTTATTATCTATAATCCTTTAGAATTTGGAAAATGCTGACAGAGGGAAAAAGCCTCAAATTCAAGGTTCATATTAAAAGCAATGTTATCTATTACAATCACCCAGTTGATTCATTCTCTTCATAAGAAATTTATTGTGGTATGTACCATATTAGGCAAATCTTGATGTTAATCCCATGCTGTGACTTACCTGCTGTGAGGCTTTGAGTTAGATACCAAACTCCTCTGAGCCTCAGTTTCCTCACTTGTAAACAAGAGACAATAACACTCACTCTGCAGGTGGAATGAGGATTAATCTGGATGAAAACATCCAGTGGATTTCTCTCACCTAGTGGAAGGCACCACCATGTGTATGCATGTGTCTGCACATGTATGTGTGTAAAAGCTGTTTGCAAGGCCACTAGTTACCTCTGTTATTTGCTCTAAAGTCTGTACTCTGGACCAAACCACTGTGACATCAGGCCAGTCACATGGCTTCCCCAGGCCACTCATATGAACACATGGTGACCACTTACTTCAACAGGAGGTGATGTGAACATTAAGTGAAACAGTAAATATGAAGTTCTTTGAAAAGTTCAAATGTAAGGTGTTGAATGTGAGGCACTTCAGATCTATTCTGGAACCTCAGTGCTGGTCTGACAGAGGGGTTACAACACTGTCCAGGATTCAGGAAGGTGTTTTCTGAGCACTTCGGTTGTTTGCATTGCCTTTCATTGTGATGGTGTTGGGAAACCTGCTCTATTTCTCCTTCCTCAGGATGGCAATGGATATATAGATGAAAACGAACTGGATGCTTTATTGAGGGATCTGTGTGAGAAGAACAAACAGGTAATTAGTTACCATGCACTTACTTCCTAGGTAGACTTTATACATCCGTCCAAACACAATAACATACCAATTTTGGAACTCTTAACATTTACAGAGGAGCAGTAGATTTCAATTCTTATCCTGATTTGGTAACTGTGATCAAAAAGATCTTAAAACCTTGTGATTACCCACATTTGCATAAGAATGTAATCCAGCTCCTCTCAATAGATCAATGTAAGGAAGAATGTCCATGTCACATTTTTTCACTGGGCCATGGTTACCTCACTTTCACATGTAACTGGACCACATGCCCTCTGTGTTCTGTGCAGGATCTGGACAGTAACAATATCCCCACCTATAAGAAGAGCATCATGGCCTTGTCAGATGGAGGGAAGCTGTACCGGACTGACCTCGCCCTCATTCTCTGTGCTGAGGACAACTAGGGGTGTGACCAAAGCCACTCACTAGTGATACACTGTCTAAAAATAACTGTGCACTATAAGGGAGTAGTCTGTATTTCCTTTTATATATGTAAATTTAACTGCATATTGATAAGTTATCAGGGTGTGTGGCACAATCTTTTCTGCTTGTTTCTATACTGTTTGAAATGTACAGATTTTGTAACCACACTGAAAAGGAAATTGTCTATGCATAGGCCAGTCAATACAACCATTTAAAAATAATCTGGCATGTTCTTGCTTTCATACATAGAACTGGAGATTTCTCTAAAAATTCCACCAGGATTATTCTCTAAAATTCTAGTCTTATGTGTTCATGCAAATTTTTCACTGAAACATTCTTATTTCAGATAATCATAGGTCTATGCCACAAAACTGTTCTAAGCTATATTTCAAATTATTAGGAGGAAGTGCTTTTGCATCTAAAATACCTTAATATTTATCCATAGTTAGTTAATTGTGGCTCCGTGACAACAAGATTTAGTTCATCAACAACACAACTCCTGCTTGCACCCACACCCCCCTACTTATACAAAGTGATTTGGTGACAGGACAGTGCTAGACGATGCATAAATGTGTCTGATTCTGTGTCTGCATTTCCAACAAGCCCACTGTCAAAGAGTATGGCCTCAATCCATTTCAAAACTGTTTTCATGTGTTGCAGATAATAATTATTCTAGTACAATGTGGTTTTATGTCATATTCTGCATCATCTCTGATTAAAATATATGTGCTGAGTATTCTGGTGTCTAGTTTGTGTCCTTCCTTAATTTTCTTTCCATGCAGAAGTGTTCATTTCCACGAAGTATATCTGCTGCCTCCAAAATTACTTTCTAGTTCTAACAACTCTACTTTTTACTACATCACTGAATCCTAATGTAAAATCCATAGCACCCTGATTGATGAGTGTTACATCAATAACTGTGTATTCTATGAATTCTCGATCTCATTTTGACATGAGCATTCAAAATAATTGTCTATCTTCAAATAGTTTCATATAAGTTAAAAATAACATGGGAAGAGAAATGCTAGTGTAGCCATTCATCTTGTTTATAAAGGGAAATTTAATACATGCTTTGACCTCAACTCAGTCTGTGTGTCTGTTGCTGGAAGGTCCTGCTCCAGGTGAGTCCCAGTGGAGTTTGTGACTCTCCTGCTATGAAAGTTATCACATCCAGGAGTCCACAGTCCATGGTTCTGAGTCAACTTCAGTAACTCAATCTAAGAATTCAGTGCCATTCTTCTAAATTCACAGAAGTAACAGTAAAAAAGTGATGTGTCTCTTTTTCCTGAATGAACAGAGAGGACATCTATCCAAAAATGGAATTTATGAAACCATGTGGGTGGTAGGAGCTCACTGCTAGTGAGTGAGCACTAACAATAAATAAGGAGAAAAGTAAAGCTGATCACTTGTATTTATGTAGAAAATGTCAGTGGCACTCATCCACTACAGAAACACCTGCAATTGTGAGATGCCATTGCTTCATGGAAGGGGACAAGAGCCTCCAACAGGGAGGGTCATACACAGAAACATCAAATGTCCAAATATTTGGAGATTTTTATCCAACTTCAAATGTTTCTTCATGAAGGGTTTTTATGGGTATAGGAGGGACACACATCTTCCTCCATCTTATAACCAGGGCCCAGAACTGTCACCAGGTGGCTATGTCATAAAAGAGAGGACACAGGTGGGGTGTCAATGCCCAAGACCCCTGTCACCAGTCATCTCTGGCCAAGATGACTGTCACTCCTGAACTAAGTCTACAAGGTGACCACGGTGATCATTACTGCACAGCTGAACCAGCACAATGACCACCGTGACCATCACTCCCAGGCTGAGCCAGCCCAGTGACTGCAGTGACCATCAATCCTGAGCTAATGCAGTGACCAGCAACCATCATTCCTGGGCCAAGGTGTCAGGCTGACTGCAGTGACTGTCACTCCTGGACAGAACTGACAGTGACCTCATGGACAGCCACCCACTGACAACGACAGAGACAAGTGGAGATGCCAGACGGGTTCACACTTGGAGCACTGTCTACAGAAGTTGTGTGAGCTGAGATGTAACCATGTGAGGAGAAGGTGCTGTGTGGGGTAAGTCTGTCTGTGTCCAACATGGGGGAAGCAGGTTTGGGTCCAACCAGGTAACCAGAATCATGATGAGAACATCTGTGCAGAGGCCATATTGCATCTGCTATGCAGTTCTTTTACCTTCGGCTGCCAAGGCTGTGCCCTTGAAGACCACTCTGGCTATTAAAACCCGGGTAGAACCCACATTCCACAGCTGGGATCCTGCAGAGCGCCCATTGCTAGTGCAGCTCCAGTTCACTGAGGGTCACTCTCTCCTTGTGATCTCCAAAAACCTAGAGCATATACAGCTGACAAAAGCTCATGTCCAAAGTATGTGCACATCACCCCACAAATAAATTACCAAAATGTGACCCAAAGGAGAAGTGGTTAAGAAAGCTGGCTCCCCAAAATAAAAGGATGTCCAGGTGGTTACAAACAATGGAAGTCACTGAGGTTATCAGGGACCAGGAGAAACTGATCCTGCACCCATCACAAAGGCCAAAATTGGGATTTGGACATTGAGGAAGGTACGGTTGGAGCACAATGACACAGCCTGCTCCAGGGGACATTAGATGGAGAAGACACTGAGCCAGACAGCAGAATCCACTTAATCTTAAAACACATCCCTCACACCAACATCCCTACAGGTCATCAGCCCAATGGGCAAGGTAACTATTATCCTTCACTCACACTGGAAGGTTGTAACAAAGAGGATGCAAAATGAACTGCTACGCAGAGAAAAGGCAGAAATGGAGAATACAATGTGCTTCCACTGACATTGTGTTGAAAGCAGCCAGCCCTGCTGTCAGAAACAGCACTGCTTTGTTTCAGGGACATAAGGGTCTTGTTGGGACACAGCAAGGCTTTGACTCCTGGTGGCATTTCTTCCCTGGGGAGTGGCTACTCACATATATTCATCTTGTAATAATTCATGATTTCTGTCCTTTTGTTTTCTCACATCAAGTAAAAGGTTAAACCATTCATGGTATAGGACCTGCATGGAGGGGACAGTGTGCCAGGGGCAGAGCTGTCAGGATCTTCCTTGAAACCATATATTCCACATGTTCTGTCTTTAACCCAACAATTATTTACCTCACAGTGTAGAAATGTAAGTAAGATCTTAGAACAAATTAAGGGACTGAGGTTGAGAATGAGTCTATGAAAGTATAATCATTTTTACATTCAAGAAATAAAATAACATTGATCGAAAAGAAAAATTATAGGTTTTTCCCCTAAAAATTATAGGTTTTAAAGACATTTGTAATAGAACTGCATTTTATGAAGACCCTGTTACTTACTGTTTGTTACTTTAAATCAGGATCCTAAGAAATTGGTCCAAATGGGCAGGACATGTGAGCTTGACGTACTGTGACTTTGGGCAGTCATGCCTGTGGTGGCCTCAGTTCACTCAACTATACAACCAAGGGGTTATTCATAGTATCTTCTAGGCCTTCCCAGCTCTAGAATTCTATTACTCAAAATCACTTAAATTCCCACTGACTTAGTTTTTAACAAGAACCATAGTGAAATACCTGTTACTCCATACCTGAAACATTTCCTGGAGGTGTTTTTGTACATTAATTGTCAGATGAGTGATATTGTTACAACAATCCTTACTGTAATTTTCTAGGTATTAACTCTTCTATCAGTGCAGTAGAAGCAGGACTCTTAGCAAAGGTACTAACTAACTGGAGTGACAAAGTTATCATTCTTAAGGTGAACACTGATATGGTTACATCCTAAAGGCAGTATGTCACAAAATACAGTGACTATACAAAATGTTTCTCTTTCAGACTTCTGAAGAAATTTCTTTTTTAGGAACAATTTCTAGTCAGTTGATATCCCATGATATCTTTTCTGTCCCCTCTCCAGGCCTATAAGCTTTGCTAAGTCATTCATCATTTGTAATAACAAATAATGAAGCAAATGCTGAGATGATTAATACAAGAAAAAATTATATACAGACTCAGACAAATAAAAATTTATACTACCACATTAAAACCCCAATAGAAGAGTAGAAAAGTATTCAATAACTAATAAATAAACATGATGGAAGAAACTACAATTTTTTACTCATAAATTGGTAAATAGTTTGAAGTAAAAAGATTCCATATTGGTAGGTATTTGTTGAAATTGGCATTATCACATAAGCTCAGGATATTTTAAATACATACAAACCTTAGGAATAACCATTTGGAAATGTACATCAAGGGTCTTTAAAAGCTTCATAACCTTTGATTAATAATATTACTTCCAGGAATACATCACAAGGAAATAATTTCAAGTTCTAAAAATGTTTTATGGCCAAGGATTTTATATATTATGCTGAAAAATAAAATAACCTATTCTAAAAATAAAGAATTAAAATATGATAAATATAAACAATGAAATATGCAAAATCATATTCATAAAAAAACAGGATCTGATTTATCATGCAATCTCAACTGTTCAAAAAGAGAGGTTCCAAATTATTGGGGAAAAACAATATTTATAAAGTTAAAAAATATGAACACAATAGTAACCAAAATAGGGACACAGTTTCTATGTCCCTATTATATCTATAGAATTAATAGCAGGGAAGAGTGTATATTCCAGGGGAAAACAAAACAGTTAAAAGAGCTGAAGATGGTTACTATGAGACCTTAAGAGCAGGCACTATAGGGGTACTTTTGTGCAAATCATACAAATTACTTTTATATAAATACAAATTAAAGGACATAAGGTGAAAACAAATATACCAAAGTATTAAAAAAAGTTTTTTTAGAAAGTTTTTTATCTTTCCTATTCTATTGTATTCTCACATTATCTATGATAACTGTGTCTCAGGAAGAAAGGAAGACCTACCTATTACATGTATGTTTTACATTTTCCATGGTGTTTTTACTTCTTGCATCTCACTTAACCCTCATAAAGAGTCCCATGAAGCAGACATTATAGTCCTGAATTTATAATAAAAAAATAAGTGAGGTAGTTTATACAAGGTTTTTTATATAACTACTGGCACTGTATTTTTCCTACACTACAGAGGTATTTATAACTTAAAGAAGAGTAAAGATGTATATAGATGAAAGCTAGAGTTAGTGTTAAAAGGGTGGAGACTGGGCACCTGCATTGCAAGTGTGAGGAAAAAGGTGATATCCTAAAAGGCCAGGTCAAAGAAGGTACAGTGGGATGTCAAGGCCACTTCTTCCAAACCTAGAACACACCCATCTGGGTACACACCTAACTGCTAGTGCAGTAAGGGTTTCCATGTTAGCTTAGAGCACATACATACAAATGAAGGAACTAGACTCCTTGATAGATCTGTTCAGAGGTGGCAGGGTACAAGCTATTCCCCTCTCCTGGGAGGATAGGCAGTGGGGGCAGTCAGTCTGCCAAGTATGCAGTGAGTGATTCCTGTGAAATTAAAATAAATCTTTTTAAAATATAAGCTCAAAGTTATAGCTATGTAGACTTGAGACTGTGGCTGTCTTATTATTTGATTCCCAGGATGACAAATTAGTCAAGCCAAATATGAACTTAAATGAAATGATACACAAAAATATTTATAAGCATCAAATATTTTTATGCATCTTCTCTACAAAGAGAATCAATTTTTCTTTTGAATCTGAGGTGGACTTCAACCTCCTTGGTGTCACCTTCTCTGAACTCTGGAAACAGAAAGAGTTACTTCCTCCTGTACACATTACTACTGGTAGTAATTTATCACAATGCATTGTAAATAATTATTTACAGATCTGTCTATCCTGATAGTGAGTTTCTAGAGTGCAAAGGCTGTAGATTAGTCATATTTTTTTCTTATTACCAAGTAGAATTCCTGGCTACAAATTAGGTCTTGGTAAGATTTGTTTGAATTAATACTGAGCTATTCAAAGAGAATAACTCACAACTCCAGTGAAAAGAAACAATATAGGAAAGGCAGAGTTCCTTTTGGATTTAATTGCATTTCCATTAAATCCACCCTAGAACCTTGACTTTCTTCCTTTTGAGTCTCATCACCATGGGCATGATTTAATATGTAGCTCAAATGCTACTTCCACCACTCAGTTTCCTTTCTCAGGTCCCTTTCCTTGCACTTTCAGTTACTTTTTACCTCTATCTAAGCCTTCACTTGCTTCTCTTTTTTTTTTTATTTTAAAGATAATTTTAAAGGGATGAGATTTCATTTCATCTCATATATCTTTGATATACGATGTCTACCTACCGCTGGCCTGGCACACAGCACACACTCAGTGAATGTCGGTTAACTATTTATTAGACTTGAAAATATTCAAAAGATTATAGGCAGTTTATATCATTTCCATGGCAACTAAAAATGAAGGCCAGGGTGTCTTAGGAGCCTTTTGTCTTCCTGATTAGTCCTTCTATGGTGTCCCACTGGTCCTTGGTGACCTGAAACAAAAAGAAAGGTCAGCTTAATGTAGTTCTTGCATGTTTTTAAAGCTTAGTGTTCTGGCTTCTAATATTATATTATATTCACAAAATAGATTAGATTACCTTCCTCAGGCTATTGAATTCTCCTGAAATGAATACTTCCTCTCCACCATCAAATCTAATAATCTGAAAATAAAAAAATTAAATCTGAAACTAACTCCTTTTTAAAGTGTCTGACTCATTAGCCACTTTCCCATCCTTGGCACTTTTAATCACATCCCAGGTTTTAAAGGCAAAACTAATGATTAAACCTAAATTGATTTATTTTCTTTAGAATCTTCTTTCCACCATCTCTACAATTTCAAACTATACCCAACCTTAAAGATTATCTTGAAGACACAGCTACCAAAGTCATTTTCATTTAATAAAATTAATTTATCAATGAATCAATTCCACAGGCTAAACAATATATATTAATATTGTTATTGAAAGCTAAATAAATATTTTAAATCATTGTAAATTCAACATCGTCAAGATTAGTTCCATAATATGCCTCCCCCTCCCCCAACATCCACCTCCCAAAAATGAAGAGAAAACAATGTTTACAGCCCCGTTAATCCAAGAAGCATAATCGCTACACAGAAAAGCAGCAAGATTGGCAAATTCTTCCACAGTCCCCAGCCGACCACAGGGGATTCTGTCGACCATTTCTTTCTCAAATGCTCCAGTGGGGTCCAGGCGGCTAAAGGCACCCTTAAAAATTAAGGAAATAGTTAGACTGCATTTTTTTAATGTTACCCCTTTTGGATTTAAGAAAGAATTTGCATAAAATGGAATGTTACTATGGCAGTGTGCTCATACTTTAGGCTTTGTAAGCAGCAGAGAATTTTGCCAAATTCTTCCATGTAACTTTAGTTCAAAAACAGGTCATCTTATAATACTTACCTAAAAATAATCACTAGAAAGCATAACCTTTTTAACCTTAGTTTCTTCATCTGTAAAATCAGGATACCTATAGCAGCTACCTCACACAATTGCTATAAACATCAGATGAAAAAAGTTATGACAGTACTTTGATATGCAAAAGCTTAGTGTGTTAGGGGGCCACTCTTGTGTGACTTAGCAAACACAGGAAATGTCTCAAGGAGAAAATTTAAGAGGAAATTCCTTTTCTTTTTCTTCCTCCTCAAGTAATAGGAAAGGAAGAAAACAATTTCTGCTTCCTGTGATGGTGAGGAGCAGACCAGGGTGGGGTATGGATGTGCCATAAAGAACAAAAGGCCTGGACTTTGCTGCACTAGAGCCTGAAGGTGACAGCTGCCCTCCATGACACAAATGACCCCTGATCCAGTTGTGCCTGAGTTCTACTGTCACTCTAGGAGTTTCTATACTTTTGTTTTCTTTAATCTCTTTTAAACTATCTCTTTATTATTCATACCTCTACTACAAACATTGTCCCAAATGTTCTTTCTTTTTTTTTTTAATTTGTACTTTCATTTTTAAGGTTTTATTTGTTTCTCTTTAGAGGGAAAGGGAAGGAGATAGGGAGAGATATTAATGTATAGTTGCCTCCCATGCGTCCCCTGCTGGGAACTGGCCTGCAACCCAGGCATGTGCCCTGACTGGGAATCGAACCTCGATCTTTTGGTTCTCAGGCCTGAGCTCAATCCACTGAGCTACGCCAGCCAGGGCCCAAATGTTTTTCTATGTTTCTCAGCACCTTTGCACACAGTAAGCACTAAATAGATGTTAAATAAATAGTAAAATGCAGGGGATCCTTCCTAGATTGAGATCATACGATGCACAGTGCCACCCTGATCATGTGTTTAGACATAAGCTTTTGAGTTATTTTCCATTACTTTTATTAGATTCTTTATTACCACAGTGCCAAACAAGCTATTCAATGACATTTCACTCTTTCTGTCCTTTTAAATAGCTAAATGAACTAATACAGCCATTTCTATGTTAATATTTAATACTCCAGAACTACCTACAAGCATTATCTTCCAATGTATTTCTACACCTGGAACAAGTTACCAAACTTTACTCCAGCCTTCAAACTACATCTGGACTAGAATTATAAATTCCTGCTTTACATAAAAACAAAAAGTATGAGAGTGATGTCATTTGGGGGTAAAGTAAGGGAGTAGAGCACCATCTGTAATAGCGGTTGTGAGGATCTAGAGCTGTAGAACTGTTTGCAGGATTACTGATATGGGAGAAGTACATGCTGTCAAAAAGGCTTAATTAGATGGGAGCCACGTGACTTGCACAGTGAGTATTAAAAGTGAACAGGCAAAGACAAGGATCAAAGAAATGCTACCTAGAGCAAGACTAGTCCTCTAGGATAAATCTCTATAGCACTACTTAAACTATAACATTCATTTCCATTATTTTTTAAAAGCATGTCATAGTCAGAATCTTTAAAACAGTAAAAATTGAGAGCTACAAGACAAAAACAGATCACTGAAGCAGATCAGACAAAATGCCAAATAATGGCATAAAAGATTCCAGCAAATGAAGGCACTGACACTGATGGGATGGAGAGTCACAATGCTGAACCCCTGCCCCTCCTATATCTCAGACTGGATGATGCAAAACCCTTCTTACCACAAACACTCCAAACTCAGGGGTCCTGAAAGTCCTTCATTCACAATCTGAATATATCCACTCACGTTTCATTCCTTAACCACTCAAAAGGTGATAACAAGCAAAAATATGACTTACTTTGGTTTTTATGGGCCCTGGTTGAATCACATTGAATCGCATTCCATATTTACCCCATTCAGCAGCCAAAGACCTAAAAATTAAATGACACAAAATTTAGACTATATGTTAAAAATAATAGTAACCACGTCAGAGACTATGACCCCAGCTGACAAATACTATTATTATCTCCATGTTACAGACAAGAAAGCTAAGGCACAAAGGTTCAATCATAAATCACTATGACTAGTGAGTCATCACAGTGGCCTTGCTTCAGAGTTCATGCCCTTGGTCACTGTTGCACTGTCACTTACACTGTTATGTCCAGTATAATCACTCTGCTATTCAGATTTTAGAACCAAGTACAGTATCAACACTCATCTCTCAAACAGGTATCTACACTGGGCATAAAACCCTGAGAGAAGCATGGCCCCTCATGTTCTGAAGTCGGTCCTGTATTTTCAGGTTCAGTGGAATCATGACAATACATTGGATTATGTTTCCAACCTCACAAGTGCTTTGATTAAGTAAAGGATGGGTTACAAAGATGTAAAATATTGACCAAGTACATGATTAACTAGGTTTTAATACCATTGTTGCACTGTACTCCAAAAGAAACAGGAATCTAATCAAATCTTGCTAAGTGCCCTGAAGCAAATATAACACCAATAACAAACATGGAGCCTAAAAACAACCTGTGTGAAAAGCCTATTGGACAGAAAGGTCTAACTTTATTACTTAACTTATTTTAGGATTATATTCATGTGTACACATTTAATCTAGTTTCAAAAAATGGTTTAAGGTAACTTACAGGAATATTTATATATATACTGCAAATGAGGGAGATAAGGTCATTTGAAAGCAAGAAAGAAAAAGGACCAACAATAAGGAAATATAAAGGAACAAGGGATAGACCTAGTGCCTAAACATATTGTGAGAGTCCACATAATTAACAACAGGAGGGTTATAAATTTGTGTCGTTCTTTCCACGATGCTACAAAGAAAGGTGAGTCTAGTCAGTTATGTGATGAACAGTGCCCAGAATATATGTATATATAAAAAAACACAAGCCAATTTCTCAGGGAAAACATGGTGTTTCTAATAAATGATTTTTTAAAAAAGCATTTCTTCTAAGAACATATAAAAGGAAAATTGTGTAATAAAATACTGTCTTTAAGACAATGTTCCCTCGAAATAGATACAAGGGGATGTGTTTTATGAAACTGTAACATACCCATTCATATGTCCTGACAGCAGCCCTTCAGCGGCCAGTTCTAGAAGGAGTATGTGTGCCAAACAGTCTTGTCTGATTTAATCCTCAGAAGCACTTAGAGCAATGAGTGAACTGTGCGTCTTTCAGGCAAATCATACACAAGTTGTTTTTCTGCGTGGTTGGTGCTCTAACAGATTTCATGACGATGCCTTCACTGGGTAAGCCCCCCGTACCTACTCCAAATTGCTGGGGATATAATACCTTCACTCTCAGCAGATTTCCTGAGCTGAGCAGAGTCTGTAGCACCCTGTGAAATGCTAAACAATGCAGTAAGGAGACTGTCTGAAGGAGAAGTATCCTTTCTGGTCAAAGGTGCCCATGTAAGTCCACCCAGTGCTGGCTCTTGACAATGAGCTGCATCTGAGGAATTGTTGTGACATGACAGAACCCGCCATGTCTGCTCGTTCTGCATATCAGGATGCCAATAAGCATAACATGTTCAACATATATCACCATTACTGTTGTTCAACCCATAAACGTTCTGTCAGGAGTACAGTCCCTCTTTCTTGACTGTAAAATGAACCAGTTACTATCCTGAGAAGTAAGTAATGTGTGTCATGGCTGCTTAAAGGGAGAAGTGCCTAACTCTATCAGAGTGACCAGAGAGCTTCCCTGAGGAGGTGACACTTAAGCAGACACTTAAGAGGATCAGAAGTTTGTGTGAGGCCAGGGAGAAGGACAGGATGGGAGATAACAGAAGGTAGGTTGGAGAAGAGGATAGCCAGGCACTGGGCCAGTAGGAGTAAAGGGCAAAGGTCAGACAGCATGCAGGACTGGGGGCCTGCCAGCCCTATCCAGGATGACTATGTAGCACAAGTAGGAGAAGCGGGCTGCTAGGGACTTGGCTACAGAGAAAGGCATACATTTGCTGAGGACTCATTATGGAAAATCACTATGCAGTGATATAAGAAAAGCTGCCCAGAATCAAGGTCCTGAAAGAACACAAAATTGAAACCTCAAACAAGATCGAAAGATCCAAACAAAACAAGTTTGATATTGTACAAATAGTGCTGAAGTAGTCAAGTTCCAATCCCTTATTTCCAATACCATTTGACCTTAAAAAAAGTACCTATCTATACACAGACAAAGATGCAATTTCTGACTAAATTTACTCTTCTCTTTATCTGAAACAAATGTGTATGATATTTCAATGTTAAAAAGTACAGTGAGACTATAGGAAAAAAGAAATCATGCAGCTCTACAAAGCACTAAGCCCAGCTGTGTTCCATATCCCACAATAATGAGTTGCAAAAGTAAGCACTGAGTCCTGCTATGTTCTGGATCTTGCTGCAATGGGTGTGCAGTGGTGACCCTGAGCCTGTCTCTGTTCTGGATCCCACCATGTTGTGTGTGTGAAGGTGGCATTGAGCCTGGCTATATTCCAGATCCCACTGTAATGAGTATGAAAAGATGACACTGAGTCCTGCTGTGTCCTGTATCTCACCACAATGAGTGTGAAAAAATGACACTGAGCTCCACTGTGTTCTGGATCCTGCTGCAATGAGTGTATCAAGGTGACACAGAATCTGACTGTGTCCCAGATCCCACTATGATAAGTGTGCAAAGGTGGCACTGAGCTCAGCTGTGTTCCAGATCCCACCACAATGTGTGTGCCAAGGTGAATAACCAAACATGGGTGTGGGAAACCAGCACTCTAATGACATGTGTAAAGTTGTCCCTGATGCCCTGCTCTGTGCCCCCACTGGCTTGGTCCATGGCCTGCACCTCAGAATCAACAACACTGGATGGTATTTATTTCTTAGAGTGTTAGTCTTTTCACTAGATTGGAAAGGTTTTCAGGATGTACAGAATAGAAAACAGTTAATTCTGTTCCAGGGAAATGAGAGAAAAAATTCCAGAGGGGGTGATACAATGCAAAATATCACAGCAAATTCCAACAGGAGCAAAACCAGCCACAGAAGTGTGAAACTATGTGGTGTGTTCAAGTAGGTATGTGGAGCAGGTGAAGGGAAATGAGAGCCCAGGATGACTATGATGTGAGAACATGGGCTCAGATGAGGATGCGGCTGGTTCTGCTCCCATCACCATCATATCCTCAGAGCCCAGCAGAGCACCTGGCACACAGTAAGCATTTATCTAGTAAGTCAACAAATAAACAGGGCCAGGGAAAAGTCTGTTGAGAATGCCATATTTATTTTTGGCTTTAATTCCAAAGAGTAATGGGAAAATGATGTAAGGTTTTAGCAAGGGAGTACCATAAGCAGACACATATTTTTAGAAGATGACTCTGGTGAGAAAATATAAATAAAATAGAAAAAGGGAGGAGATTGGTCACAGAGAAACATACTACAGAGTTACAATGAGCCAGATAAGCACCAGCAAGAACCTGTAGCTCAACAAAGACAGTGGAAAAGGTTGGTGGTGAAAACTCAGAAAGTGCTTGTGCTGCTAAGAAATGACCACAGAACCTGACACATGGTCACTAGTCTGTGTTTTAGCCCTGTTATTCTCACAACAAAAGGGTGAAGGTATGTTTCAGGGGCAGAGAGGGTGCCGGGGAAGGCACATTGGGAATAAGAAGGCTGTAGTCCTGTGCTGTCTAATATGGTAGCCACTAGACACAAAGCTTTGTAATTTTAATTTTAAGGTAATTAGAGTTAAATAAAATTCAGTTTATTGGTCACAATAGCCCCAGTTCACATGTGGCTCTTGGGTAATGCAGAAGTACTGAGAAATTTCATTAGACAGTGCTGCTATGGACAGCAGGTGATAGGATGTCTGTCTCCTGGTGGATCCAAATTAATCTCTGTTTTGCTTTTCTCCAGATGAAAACCACAGCAGGAATTTAGTCCCACATGTTACAAAAGGGCAGTATTTATCATTCACTACAGGAGTAATGAATGTGTACCCACTTGTTAAGAGCTTCCACTCCGGCTTTGGCTGAAGCACTGGGCACCACAAAGCCTGACCCAGTCCCAGCATAGATGGTGGTGATAGCAAGAAATGCTGCTCCTGGAATTTTAAAAGGACATAGAATTAACATTACACCTAAATTGAACATCACTCTTTGTTTGGAACTGCCTTTCCTGGTTTCAGAAGCTGTAACCCCCCATAGCTAAGGTTGAGTGAGAGACCTTGGGACCATAAGCCACTAAGGAGACAAAGCTTATCTCCCTGGGCCGCTGCCTCTGCCCTCTTTACCTCACCCTGCCTGGCCCCCAGTACATGACCAGTTAGCCAATGAGAAGATTCCTCAAGGGAGGGATGACCTAAGACAGGCATGGTCACAAATGGGCCTGCAAGGAAGGGCTTGGGGGAGGTATAGCAAAAGGGGGTGATAGACCCCGCCCCTCAGCTTTGACACAGCCTGAGTCCTTATTCTGTCTGCAAGAAGTCTTCTAATCTTTTGGTTGCCTTATAACCCATGCCTGACTTAAGCCGGAAACAAAGACAGAGGGTGGTGCAGCCCCATGCTTGAAAGGGCGGATTCCCCCAGGGCAATCAGGCCTAAGAGGGAATGCATAAAATCTTATGAAACCTGCTTTGCTAAGAATACCCTCAACTTTCTGATAAAGGTCCAAGCATAAAATGAGTTTATTTCCCATAGTTTTATAGCCCTTTAGCTAACAGACCCAGACTCAAAACAAGCCCTTCTAGTTCTTTGTATGTTATCTATTGTTTGATCCTTATTGCCTAACAATGATTGATGAACTTTATTTGTATTCCTGTGCAAATTGAATCCAATAAAAGCCCATTGAGGAAAGGCTCTTTGCCTTTCTCCTTTGAGAGATTGGCCACCTTTCCTCCCCAAGAAGATCCCATCTTGGTAGATTTATTCTCATCTGTGGTGGACTCGGGGACTCTGCAGGCAGAGCCCCCCACAGCTCTTAGCAGTATCTTTTTGGATGTACTTCTTTGGGCAAGGGAAACAAAAGCAAAAATAAACAAATGGGACTACATCAAACTAAAAATCTTCTGCACAGCAAAGAAAACCACCAACAAAACAAAAACAATCTACTGAATAGGAGAACATATTCACAAATGATATATGCAAAATGGGGTTAACATCTAAAATATGTAAAGAACTCATAATTTAATATCAACCCCCCCAAAACAATCCAATTTTAAAATGGGCAGAAAACCTGCATAGATATTTGTCCAAAGATGACATACAGGTAGCCAATAGACACATGAAAAGATAGTCAACATCACTAATCATCTGGGAAATACACATTAAAACCATAATGAGGTATCACCTCACACCTGTCAGAATGGCTATCATCAATAAAACAACAAAAAAGTATGTGGAAAGAAGGCAATCCTCGTGCACTATTGGTGGGAAAGCTGCCTGGTGCAGCCACTGTAGAAAACAGTATGGAGGTTCCTCAAAAAAATAAAAATAAAAATAAAATGACCAAATGAACAAGAAATTCCACTTCTGGGAATATATCTGAAGAAAACAAAAACATGAATTCAAAAAGATATATACACCCCATATGCACTCCTATGCATTATTTGCAGCATTATTTTATAATAGTCAATGTATGGAAGCAACCTATGTTAATAGACAATTGGATAAAGAAAATGTGATGCACACACACACACACTGGAATATTAGCCAGCAATAAAAAAGAATAAAATCTTACAACAACATAGAGCAGTGATTTTCAATCTTTTAATCTCATGGCACACATAAACTAATTACTAAATTCTGCAGCACACCTAAAAATATATTTTTTGCTGATCTGATAACAATAGATATAATTTTGATTCATTTCTACTGGACAGATATTACTGGGTTGGCTGTTGTCATTTTTTTAAAATTTAAGAATCTAAATGAAAAGAGGTCAGTGCCCTTGATGAAAAGGTCAGGTATTGCATGTTTTTAAAAATTCTGAGCCCTGGCTCGTGTAGCTCAGTGGATTGAGTGCAGACCTGTGAACTAAAAAATTCCTGCAGCACACTGGTTGAAAATTGCTGACTTAGAGCATTTTATGCTAAATGAAACAAGTCCAACAGGAAAAGACAAATACCATATGATTTCACATACACATGGACTCTAAAACAACAAAACAAACAAACAAAACTGAAAGAGACTCATAGAGAACAGATTAAGGGTTGCCAGAGGGGAAGGAGGTTTGAGAGACTTGGTAAAAAAAAGGTGAAGGGATTAAGAAGTATAGATTTGTAGTCACAAAACAGTCACAGGGATGTAAAGTACAGCATAGGGAATATAGTCAATAATGCTGCAATAACTATGTATGGTGCCAGGTGGGTACTAGACTTATTGGAGTGATTATTTTGGAAGGTATACCTTTTGTCTCTAGTGATTTATGGATTAATGGAAAAATTCAATATGTATCCTGTCCATGACCTTTGTAACTAGACTTAAAACCCCATATTAATCTCTTTTAGTCTTTCTTCATTTCAAGTTGTATCAGTTCTTTAATAAGATTAGCTATTCTTTTCCACACTATTTATTAATATTTACATATAATCATGATATCCTAGTAATGAATGGATCTCAGCAGGATATTTTCAATATCTTTCCCCAAAAGAATCAGGCATGTACCTGTTAACATTTGTGGCTGTCTTTAGAAGTTTCCAAAATTTCTATTTGTTGAATATTAACTTTGCTTCAGTGCTCCTTAGAAACATACTTTCACAATATCCCTAATGCTGCCTTCTCTGCTCCTGCTCAGGCCACAGATCTTGGGTCCTTTGTCATTGGCTCAACTCGAGTACACATCATCACCAAGTCCTGCCCCAGCCAGTGTGCATCTGTCCTTCAGTTGCTGGTGCCCTTACTTTGCTATCTCACCCACCTGTCTTCCTTACTGTCACCTGCCTGCCTTCCTAGATGCCAGATCCCACCTCACATGCCACAGCCTGCAGCCTCCGACATACTTCAGACATAACCACACCAAGTTTCTTGGCTATTGCTCTGGTCTGGAACATACACCATGAGCTGAACTCCACAGACCAGTGGAACCAAGCCTTGAAAGCTGTCAGATCACAGCACTGATAGTCAACAGGAATCTTGGAAAAGTAAAAATTGGTTTCCATCCTTTGAAAAATCTTAGTGAATATATTTTTAATGACACACATAGAATTTTAATCCAATGTGAGGAATAAAAATAGATCCAATTATGTGTTAAAATGAAAGACAATAATGAGAGGAGGGAAAGTCAGAGAAAAAGCAGGGTCACAGGGATGGGCCAGGGAAAACTAAGAGAAACAGTGAGACTAGAAAGACGGTGATGAGACACAGAGATGGAGAGAGAAACTGAGAACTAGGGAAGAGATGACAGAGAGAGAGAGAGAGATGAGTGAAATGTGGAGAAAGTCAGATGGAGGGAAAAGACACAGAGACCAAGGTCCTAGGGCAGAAAGGACAGAGAAGGGTCAGCCCATGCTTCTCTCTCCCTTCTCTGTCACCTACCCCTTCTGAAAAATCAAAATAAAAAAAAAAAACACTCAAACTCCAGCCTAGGTCAGACCCCCTTTGTGTGGTGGGAATGAGCGGTCTGGGTATGAATTTCAGTGTCAGCCTAGATAAAGGGCAGGAGTTCTCAGCACCCACACAAAGCTGGTGCCTCATCAGTGCCTTCTGTCTGTCCTGACACCCCCAAGCTGTTCTGAGAACTAACCATGCTGCCCAGAGGATGGAAGCTGGCTAGCCCCAGGCTTCCTTGAGCCTTGAAGGATGACCTTCCAGGAACATAAGGACCCTTCCCTCCGAAGCTTCTCAAAATACTTCCCACCTCTCTGTGAAAATACCCCCTTCCTTTAATCCCCTCAACACTGATCAGGAAGTGTCTTGTCTTCCTGTGCCACCAGGGCCTGGTGCATAAGCACCAGTAAGTATGCTAGATGAATACATGCACACTGTTTTAGACACACATGTACACCTGTATCTACTTCTCATACATATGGACTTTTATCCAGAAGTTTGTTCACAGGACTAAACACAAATGTCCTCCTCATAACTCCCTATAAACAGATCATCCCTCCATTGTCCTCACCCACCCTGTGGTCTTCCTCACCCAGATGACTCACCATGTAAAACCCCTCATCTGACCAGTAAAGCCTTATCTTCTAAACATCCTATTTTATTCCTCAAGCCACCCATCCATGTGCAAGAAGAAAGCAGCCATTCCTGACTGGTCCTCTCATCTTTGCCACCCCCCACAGTACTGCCATAACCTTCCTAACCAGTCACATCCTTTATCAGACAACTTCTACAGATCCTAAGAAAATAACAGTTTCCTTCAGAATCAACACCAAATTTCCTACTGGGAGTGTTTCCAATGATACCTAGACTGCCTCCCACACAATTTCCTACCACTTTCCCTCCTGACTCCAACCACCTCTGAAAATCCAGCTCAACCTGACAGTCATCCAAGGGAGAGTTGAACACTCCTGCTCTGGATCTCAATGCTTTCAAAACATAGTGATCACAGCTCACCACAGCACATGGTAATGTGTTGTGGACCACTCTGCCTGGTTTCAGGAATTGTAACTTGACCCCCTGTGGCTAAGAGCCAGCAATGATCTTTGGAATGAAAGACTTAGGAGACAAAGCTTGTCTCTGGTAGCAAATACTGCCTCAGTTTTCTCTCCCCTGAGGAACATTCTTCCTCAAGGACTTCAATTTCTAAAACTTATTAACTCAACTAACAATAAAATGTACAGTCTGCTATGAATCACCATGAGATTTGAGCCTGTAAATATCTACCGTTATTTTACCAAATTTCAGAATACTAATTTTTTTGCCCCCAAAGCTTGGTGGAAAGTCAATGACAGGTAAGACCCCTCATAGCAGGGGGCAACCTAAGCCAGACTCAATCATGTGGGAGGCCGTCATGTAAGGACTCAAGGGGCTACAACAAAGAGCAATGGACTATCACCCCCCCACCCCGGCTTTGAGAGCCTGAGTCCCCATGTCTTCTGGGACAAGTACTTCCTGGCTCTAATCCCTTTAAGCCTCAATACCTGATGGGGAGGGGTGCAGCTCCTTGCCTTGCTAGCGGTATCCTGGAGAAAAATCTGGCATCACAAAGATTTTCTGATAAGCCTGTGAAATCTGCTCTGCTAAGAGTGCTTTCATTCATATGTTAAGGGTTCGAGCAGGAAACCCTAAAACTCTGTTCCTGACAGACTCTGACTCATACTAAGCCCTCAGATTTCTTTGAAATGTTATCTACTGTTTGATCCTTGCTGCCCTATATTTCTCTGTATTACAATCCAATAAAAGCCTTTAGAGGAAGGGGCTCAATGCCTTTTTCCCCGAGAAACTGGCCACCTCTCCTCCCCAAGCAGATTACATCATGTCTTGTCATGTTTACTCTCATCCGTAGCACACGGGGGGACTTGCGAGGAAAGTTGCCCCACAGTAATGACTGAAGGATCTTCCCTCTCTATGAGACTATGATTGTCAGAGTGTAAATAGTGCCCCACTGACTTCTCTCAGGACCCCAGGGCTGTACACAGAACCTGCACACAATGGGGTCCAGTGAATAGGGAAAAACACACAGTCCTACCCTTCTGTGCTTTAATTAGTTGCTTCCCAATTTCCAGGGTCACGAAGGCTGTGCCATTCAGAACAATGTCAGTGATGGTTTTCCATGCATTAGGGGACAGTCTTTCGGTGGGAGAAATAAAATTGCCTGCTGCATTGTTTATCACAATCTAACAGAAGAATATATCGAGTTAGAAAAAGTTTTAGATGAGAAGGAACATTCTTCCTCAAGGGCTTCAATTTCTAAAAGTTATTAACTAACAATAAAATGTACAGTCTGCTATGAATCACCATGAGATTTGAGCCTGTAAATATCTCCTGTCATTTTACCAAATTTCAGAATCCTAATTTTATGTCAAAATCAAGGTAGAGTCTATTATTAAGAACATAAATACAGATGAAACACCTAACATGTCCCTATACATTATTTCAAGGAATCTCAATTAAAATGCCTTTAATTTTGGCATAAATCACCCAATGAAACTCTGGGCTGATGACCTGTTTCTTCACTATCAATAAAGATCCCACTTAGCTCTACAGCAGAGTCAATATTATTGCTGTCTGGATATACCTTTAACAAAAAAAAAAAAAAGGGAGGCTTTCTTTGAAATTACTGGAGGAAATGGCTTCCTCCCAATATGTGAACCTAACAACAGCACTATGTCCATGTATATAGTAGGTTTTAAAAGGAGAAACCTGGACCTTCTTGTAGGTTCATTGTTTGTGTTACTCTCACCTACAGAGATAGTCAAGGTTATTAGGAAAGGTAAAGAGGATGAATCCTTTAAGTTAGTGTTCTTGGATAACTCTTGTTTTAGTTCACAATCTTATTAAATAAAGTGAAGTCCAGTTATTTTCTGCAGGATTGTAAATGCATTTTTAAAGTATTCCTGAAGGGCCATGGAGCAGCTGTCTGTTCTAATCTGGTCCCTGCTTTAAGCAGAGCGCTTCTTGATGGAACAAGACAGGTGCCTCGCACAGCATCACAATGATCTCAATGGGCAATACCAGTACCAGGACCTCATCACCACAACTCACGTCAGGGTGGCCTGCAAGTCTGATCAACTCTGACACCATGTTTTGTACCATGTCAGGATCCCGCACATCACACTGAATTGCATGAACCTGCAAAGTAACAAAGACAAAGCAATCCTACATTTTTCAGACTTCCAAAAACAAAACCGTGAGTAGATTATTTATGTTATCACTCCTAAATTTGAATTAAATAACTGTTTTTAATGTACCTTATTTCCAGTTTGAGAAGAAATTTGTTCTGCAGTGGCTTTCAAAACATCAAACTTTCTATAAATAAAGACATAGTATTTTTGCATGAGTTCTGAGATAATGTGATATATTTTCTCTTTTTAATTCCATAAATTAAAAAACCAAAAAGAATTTATAGCTGAAAGAGATGCATGTTTGAGGAAATACAAAAGCTACAAATAAATCACTTTGAATGAATGCATTTTTTAAAAGTTTGATTCAAACAATTTTTATGAAACTAATGTATTGAATTATTTACATTTAAGTTTATATCTACTCATAGATTCAATTTTTTTCCTTAATTACAATCATTTATACCTGTCCCCAGCCTGCTTTAGAAAGAAAACACATTCATAGTATAATGAAAGATTATATTATACGATATAATAATCTATGCTGTGCATAAAGTCTATGGTAATAGATTTTAGACCAAATTTATGTATATAAATGCATTATGGGGTCTGTCCAGGAAGTATTCAGTAGTGCAATACAAAAAAAAAATAGAGACATTCATCGAAGAAGATACAAGATACAAGAAACATTGTACATAGGACAATGTCACCTCAGTCCCCTTCAAAGTAGACACCTTGAGCCCTCACAGAGTTCTCCCAGTGTCTCTTTCACTGCACAAAACACTCTGCAAAATCTTTTTTGGATTTTTTGGAGTAGCCATCAGCTGTCCCATCATATTTCCCTCAATCTCATTGGCAGTCAGAAATCTCTTCCGTTTCAAAGGTGATTTTAGATTTGGGAAAAACCAGAAGTCACAGAGCACCAAATCTGGGCTGGGGGTGGAGGACTGAGTCACCTAGGTCATATGATGTTTTGCAAAATACTCCACACATGATGCGATGTATGAGCAAGTGCATCATCATGATGAAGTGGCCAATCACCAGTTGCCCATAACTATAGCTGTCTTCATCATATTGCATCTCTCAACTGATGAAAAACATAGAGGTAGTACTCCTTATTAATTGTTTGGCCTGGAGAAGTGTACTTGTGATGGACTACACCTTCCCAATCAAAAATCAGTTAACATGGTCTTAATCTTGCTTTGACTTTGCCACACCTTCTTCAGGTGTGGAGAACCAGGCAACTTTCATTGGAACAACTAGGCCTTTGTCTCCAGATCATAGCCATAGACCCATGATTCATCTCCAGTTATGATGTTCTTCAGGAAACTTGGTTCATTAGTAGCAGTCTGAATCAAGTTATTAGCAACTGCAGCAAAAGTACCTTTTGCCCTGGTAGCAAAAGCTGCTGAAGGAATTTTAACATGACACGTTTCACCCCAAGATCCTGAATCAAAATCTCATAGACAGTAGTTTTTGTAATCCCCAGATCAGCTTCTGGTTCCTGCACTTTCAGTCGCTGATCTTTGGTTACAGCCTGTACATATTCAACATTCTCAGGTGTTCTGCTTGTTGCAGTCCTTCCGGAATCTGGATCACTTTCAACAGATTCTTGACCATCTTTGAAGCATTTGTGCCACACTTTCATTTGCACTGCACTCATTCCATAGTCTGTCCCCAAAAGGTTTCTGAATCATCTGAATAGTTTCTGCAGAAAAACATTCAAGCTTAATGCAAAATTTGATGCAGACTCATTGCTCTAATTGCTCAGTCATTTTGAATGCACTGGCCACACTGTACACATACTCACTCAATGGCATCAACCACCCCCAATGACAAGTAGAATGAAGTCATTATTGTTCACACATGAGCACTTCAGTCCACTCTCCATGGCTGGCAGGTTACATGGATGTCGCACAAACCATTCTCATTATATTAACAATGGTTGGACTTTTTTTTGGACAGACATCACTGCATATGGATTCAGAACCTTAAATTCTTTAAAGGATCATAAAAAGTAAACCATGAGTATAAATTATGTAATGTTACAGAAATATTTTAACACTTGAAAATACTACAACATAAAAACGAAAAAATGGTCTGGCCAATTTCACCAAAGGAAATAAAGGAAATTTCTTTGGCTCCTTATAGATTACACAGTGACTGTCAATCAGATTATTACTTACTGACTTAAAATGTTTACACTACTCAAAATAGAAGGGGTAGATTTGTGACCAGTCTCTGAAGCTGTAGACTTACAGTTAGTTATAGGGACCAGGATCTGCCTCAGTTAGAATTCCTCCCGTATGGTCTCATCCTTCCTACACAACCATAGATTTTTTCAAAATATCTACCCACCTTATAGAAAATGGAAGGATTATATCCATTATCCTTATACACAGCAGTCTACTGAATAGTTATAATTGCTACTACTGAAAAAAAAAACAGCTTAAATGTAGTACTTTTTAACTTCATTTCCATGTACGGAAAATAAATTCTATCACTGCATTTGGGAAATGTACTCATTAACCATTCCATAATCAATCATTATTTCTATTGTCACAAGTTATAACAGGTTTTCCAAAGGAAATTTACTTAAATAATCCAAAGGATATTCATAGAAGATTAAAATGCAAGTTAAAAAACTCTGCTTGGCAATGTGTTTTCAATCTTGAGGCACAGAACCATCTTCTAACAGGCTCTCTCCAGGCAACTTGTCAAGGGACTCACCGGCTGGCTATCACACAATGTGCACCGAGGCTGGACAGGAGACTGGTCATTCCTCTTCCAAGGCCAGTGCCTCCCCCAGTAATGAAAGCCACTTTTCCCTGAAAACTGTTAGGTGGTAGCATCACTTTTTGAACAGATGGAAAGAATTTAGACTGGAAAGTATTACTGTTTTGATATAATATTTTTGTTCCATAACTGAAAAACTAAAAGAGAAAAAGTGAATTGAAATTTGCACACATGCATTTCCACAAGAGACGAAGTTTGAAAAAAAAACCCTTATTCTTTGATGTTATTTAAATTCTTGGATTAACACAAATTCCAGTAAACATCCTGGTCTTGTATTGAATCAGTTATTGTGTTTTTTATTGGAATGTTAAGTGATACAGTGGAATGGCTAAAAGCCTGGGCTTTGGAGCAAGATAACATAACACAGAATTTTTTGTCCAGTCATATAACCTTCAGCAAGTTATTTAACGTCTCTGTGCTTCAGCTTCTGTAAATGGAGACAATAGAATGCTTTGAGAATTTCATGAGTTGGTATAAATAAAATACCTACAACATTGCTTAGCACATACTTAGCACTGCATAAATGCTAGCATTATTTGGCTTACTGAAATTTAATTTTAAAAAAGTAACACATAACATATTTGTCTTTTAACAAAAATATGTTGGATGAAAATCACATACTGCCATTGAATCACTGAAGAGATCATAAAAAGTTCTGTATAAGATTTACTAAGTCAAATGTCTCTTCCCATGTTGCCTTCTGGGTGATAAATTTAGATAAATTATTTCTGTTATATTTAAAGTGGGGGAGGGGAAATCAAACCATTTTGAACAAAAAAATATTTGCATTGCCCTGTCTTATATTTTACAGCTTACACTCATTATTTGTGAAAACCACTGCCATTCTCTCACATTTTATTATAAAAGCAAACTTTAAATGTTGAGCACAATAACAAACAATAAAGAGCCAGCACTCATTAAGTGCTTACCATGTGTCAGGATTAGATATCCACCTGACTAATATTTCCCACCCCATGAAGTAGGTTTTATTTTACCCATTGTACAGGAAGGGCCCAGAAAGTTAAACAAATTGCCAGGGTTGCAGAATCAAGATTCCAACATGAGCTGTATCCAATTGCCTTATATGCCACCCCTGTCTACTCCCTGAGCTTACTGTATTCAATAATCACACCAAAGGCATGTGATATTGATACAGGGTGCAGCCAGGGGGCCCCCCCCAAAAAAGATTTGGAATAGTGTCGAGAATTCAAAGTGTATAGGAATATTGGAGAGACATATAAGATGTCCTCACACCTCCGCCCAGGGAGAAGAAACAAATGGAGCCAGGCCATTGAGAGCTGTTTTGCATAGCAACAGTTTTGGATCTAACTAACCTCTGGAATGGTTATTTAACATATGTATAACCTTTAACTGGTTTCATAGATATGTTAAATAGCAGTGGCCAAGTTTGGAGCGGAAAGAAGGGAGTAGCGGGGACTCAGGAGGAAATGAGGGGCTGTGCTCCTGAGTGAAGGCCTGTGTGAGAGCTTGGAAAAGACTGGCTCCAGGACACGAAGGGTCCCCGCTTGGCCAGATGAGAGGAAGAGCCATGCAGTTTCAGCAGAGTGAGGACCCCGAGGTAAAGAGGGAGCCGCGTGCGGACCCCCTCTTTCCCAGGTGAAAGGGAAAAACTACGCAGCTTTGCCAGAATGGAGATCCCTGCAGCCAGGTGAAGAAGAAAGCCACATGCTTCTGGTGGAGTGCGGACTCCTGCAGCTTTGGTAGAAGAGGCCCACGCGGCTTTGGAGTGCCACCTTTGGCTGCGGGTCCTGAAAAAGCAAGAGACTTTGACTGGAACTAGGTACAAAGGACTCTTGCCAGTGGACCATGAGAGGGTACCACAGTACTTTGGATTAACTCGAGATCCTGCACAGTGATGCAGCTGACAGTGCCAGCGGCCTGAAACACAGACGTGTGCTCTTTTCCTGATTTACGGTACCCGGAATTGGGACAGTGGGAGAAGGGAGCGCTGTGTGGGTGTAGGTGTACAACCTAAAGGACTTTGATATTTTAGTGGAGGCATTACACCTGAATAGCATTAAATAAACATTTTGTTTCCTTTTCACAAATCTCTGGCATTGAGAGATGTCTTTCCAATTGGGGGCAGCCAGAAGAGCCCAGTAGATATTAGTATTTTGTTTTTTTGGAGGGGCCCCTGTTGTATAGCAGTTTTGGGCATCCCTAGGTGGGCCAAATATTGTATTGCCCCTCCCTCGGACCTCTTGTTCAGTAACAATATCTCCTGCTTGAGTCTTCTTGCAAGTCAAGTGGGCCACCACTGTTGATCCAGGATATCTAAAAATTTACCCTAAGAAAACTGTTAGAAACTAGTCATTGGTTTAGAATAAGGCTGTTCATCAACAGGAAACTGTACAAGAAAATGCTTATGATATCGTAACGGGGCACATCAGAGCAAAGATCCTTGGAAAGCAAGAAACCCCAGCTCAGACAGGGGAACCCCAAACCTGGTAAAAGACTGCTCCCCTTTTCGCAACTGGGCAAAGGACTTAAACAGACATTTTTCCAAGGAGGACATACAGAAGACCCAGGGACACATGAAAAGATGCTCAATATCGCTAGCTATCAGAGAGATGCAAATTAAAACCACAATGAGATACCACTTTACACCAGTCAGAATGGCTATCATAAACAAAGCAACAAACAACAAATGTTGGAGAGGTTGTGGGGAAGAGGGGACCCTAATCCACTGTTGGTGGGATTGCAGACTGGTACAACCACTGTGGAAAACACTATGGAATTTTCTAAAAAAACTAAAAATGGATCTGCCTTTTGATCCAGCAATTCCACTGCTGGAATTATATCCTAAGAACACTAAAACCCCAATCCAAAAGAACCTATGCACCCCAATGTCCATAGCAACACAATTTACAACAGCCAAGAGCTGGAAGCAACCTAGGTACCCATCAGTAAATGAATGGATCAAAAAATTATGGTACATATATACAATGGAATTCTATGCAGCAGAAAGAAAGAAGGAGCTCCTATCCTTTGCAACAGCATGGATGGAACTGGAAAGCATTATGCTGAGTGAAATAAGCCAGACAGTGAAAGACAAATACCATATGATCTCACCTTTAACAAGAGGCTAAACAACAAAACAAACAAGCAAGCAAAATAAAAACAAAGACACTGAAATAGAGAACAAGGGGACAGTGACCAGAGGGGAGAGGGGAGGGAATTTCAGGAGAAAAAGGGGAAGGATTTACAGGAACTAGTATAAAGGACACATGGACAACAACTAAGGGGGGTAGAAATGGGAGGGAGGTGGGGAGCACTGGGGGGGTGGGCTGGGATGGGAGTAAAAACCAGAAAACTGTACTTGAACAATAATTAAATAAATTAAGAAACAACAACAACAACAACAACAAAGACTGCTCCCCTTTTTGCCAGGAAAGGGAGGGGGTGGGGAGAGCTGCAGAGGCTGCAGATTAAAAGCCCCAAGTCTTCTTCAAGGCAGAGAGAAGCAGAAGGCACAGTTAAGGCACATTGCATACCAAAGGCAGACATCAACTGTAAAGGAACCAGCCTACTAACTCTGAGAACCTGGCGGCTCATGCCTTCCCAACAGGGAGGGGCTGCCAGGGAAGACTCCCTGCTAGCAGTGTTGTAGGAGGAGGAGCAAAGGCAAATATAGCCAACATTGGCCCTCATTGGCTGGAAAGGTGGGCACTCCCCCTGGCTTCTGGAGCTTATAAGATTCCAGGAGAGAGGACTTTTCAAACAGGAGATGGGGAGAAGCTCACTCTCTGGGCTTGCTTTTGGCTCTTGGCCATTGGCTATCTTGCTTTGGCACTTGGTGCAGGCTCTTGGCTCTTGCTTTGTGGCACTTTGGCTTGGAATTTTTTTGTCACAGGTGTGCTTGGACACTCTGGGTCTTGGCCCTTGCTTCCTGAACAGATGGGAACAATTGTGAGACCAGGCAGATGCCATGCCCACCAGGGGCTTAGTCTCCATATGGTTGGAAGACCACTCCTGGAGGCAGGGTCCCATGCTGGGAGGCATGCCTTGCTGGGCTCCAGCCTCTGGGACACTATGAACCAGTGCAGTATGGCACATGGATCCTGGATGGCTACATGGAGACTAAAAACAGCACATCCTAGACCCAGAAATAGAGAGCTGCTGCAGGAAGATGGTGATTCTGGTACTTCCAGCCAAGATGGAGGCATAGGTTGACACACCGTGCCTCCTCACACAACCAAAATAAGGACAACAACAATTTAGAAACAAAACAACAACCAGAAATGACAAAAAACTGAACTGTATAGAAGTCAGACAATCAAGGAGTAAAAAGATAGACACATTCATCCAGACCAGTAGACAGGGTGGAGTCAGGAGGCTTGGCAGAGAGGGATTGTGACACAAAAAGTGGTGGCACTGGGTGTGCAAGGCACCCTGGGCGTGCAAGACGACAGCGGGCGGACCCTGGGCCCGGGGAGGCAACAGGCAGACCCACCACGGCAGCAATTGTGAAGCTTGGCACTGTGCACAAGATGGCTGGCTGACCGGGTGGTCCCACGTTCTTGCACAGATAAACCAGGTGAAACTGGGGAGCAAGACAGACAACACAATCCAGGTTCCCAGCGCAAGGAAATAAAACCTCAAAACATCTATTGAAAACACCTGTGGGGGGTTGAGGTGCCAGGAGAGACTCCCAGCCTCACAGGAGAGTTTGTTGGAGAGACCCACAGGGTCGTATAACACACACAAGCCCACCTACATAAGAATCAGCACCAGAAAGGCCCAGTTTGCATGGGGGAAGCAGGAGAGGGGACTGAGATCCAACAGAGAGCAGTTCAAGTGCCATTGTTCCCTCTCAGACCCGCCCCCACATACAGCATCACAACCAAGTGACTGGGTTGCCTTCCCTAAGGCTCTGCCCCTCATATGTAAAAGGCACAACAAGACAAAAAAGTGGCCTAAACAGAAGAACAGATCAAAGCTCCACAGCAAATACAACAAAGTGACCAAGAGATAACCAACCTATCAGATGCACAGTTCAGATGCACTGGTGATCAGGATGTTCACACAATTGGTTGAATTTGGTCACAAATTAGATGAAAAAAGGAAGGCTACACTAAGTGAAATGAGGAAAATGCACAGGGAACCAATAGTGATG